AGAAAAGGCAACCGAGACGAAAAGGGGGTGGCATGTACCCCAATGTACTGTACGGGCGTCCTTGCTCTTGGGTCTCAATTTTATTAATAACTATGAAGAAATTTTAATGGAAAATAAAATACAGAGAAATTTGTATGTGAAGATACGCGGGAAAAGTCAGAAAATATTGAAGATATAGCATCTTTACTTAATCTGGAATGTTGTCTGCTTAGCTAGATATAGCCTACATGCATACATTTTTTATTGTATTTTTATAGATTACAGCGTTCAGGCACCACAGCCAATCGGAAAACATCATACACAAAATACTGTATATGTTATATAACAAACGACTGCGATGCCCGAACAGTTGGAATTCATGAAAATGCATCTGACATCTTAACCGCCTCATCCTGCCGTCAATTATTTTGGCTTAGCGATCTAACTTGCCGAAGTTTTTTCATTATAAATTTATTATTTTATATACAGTATACGAATCGTTTGGCACAAAAACATTTTTTAAATATAGTGATTTGATATTGTAGTTTCTGTTTTTGCCGTTTGTAAAGCACTGAAACTTTACGTTGTATCCTGTAACGCTCTAGCTGTATTTGGATCATAATCTGGTTTGGGAGCAGAGCAGAATTTTCTGCTTAGAATCACTTTTGTTCACTAGGAGCGCTGCGATTAGGATTTAGGCAAAAAGCAGAGTACTGTACATACAAAACTAATACATAACGCGACTTCTAAATGTAAATTAAAACCTTTCCGAATATATTTAAATTCAGAAAAAGGAACTGTTAAGCCTTTTTTTTCGAAATTGCAAGGTGACGCTCGCTAATAAATGACAAAGTTGTTTAATACTTTCTCCACCTTACATAAAAGTGCAGTCTGCGAGTGATGTAAAAATATACAACTCTTGCTAATTTAGCAATTCTATGCAGGACATTTTCACATCTCGCTACAAATTCACCGATTGTAAATTCACGCGCCTTTTCGTAAAAACCTACTGTTTCCGCCTATTCTCTTTAAAAAACAGATTATCTAAAGCCGAATCGTAAAAATACACACGTGCTAACGCGACTCTCACCAATTTCACATCTTTATTTTTATTTGTTAATTAAATACAGAAGAAAGATGAAAAGTGCTGTCTATAGAAATCACGAGTTATCATGTAATGTAATGTTTAATGTAATTTGTTGGCTTCAGCGGGTAATTTTGAAGGTAGGGATGAGTATTTTTATGTAAATACTTCTGGTAATAACGAGTAAAATCGTAATTAAGTACGATTCCTCTCGAGATATGACAGGTGACTCTCACCCCTCACGACCTTTAATCACCAAAATTTAATAGCATTAATTTCCCTTATATACAAGCTACTACCATGCTAAATTATCGTTTATTTGCTATTCTTTATATTTACCTTCTCTTTTTCCAACTCTAAGTTCAAAAGAAAAACAAACTTTCTTCCCCTCACATTGTGGAGATTTTTAATTAATACTACAGTGAAGCTACTTCTGCCAGTAGAAACAGAAAGCTGCCACTCCATGGTGAGAACAATAGCAGCTCATCAACCATATTTTCTAGTAACCTAGATACAGAAAGTACAGCCATTTAGAGCTGTCTGCTAGAATAGCCGCCATTTTGGACCCAATTCGCTGAATTATACTTAAAGCCAGTTCGCCGGAAATATAAGAAAAATGATGAGTAATAACAAAAGCTTAAAAAGGAGTAATTTTGTTATATTATAATTAAAAATCTCCATTTAAAAAATAATTGTTTAAAAACACTACGACACTAGCTTAAAGTGTGTGGCACCATCTGTTATGAAATATATAAAACTTATTTTTAAATAGCAATTATTATAAAAAGGCAAGAAAGGCTTTTATAATAGGAAATTTTGAGGATAGCGACGAATTTCTAAAATAATTATAAATGCCAATAACGAGTAAAATTTTCATTAAGTCCGAACCCAACAGGAGATATGACACATGACGCATTCTACCTCCCTACCCCTGGATTTTTGATTTGATACGATTACAATACTCTCCAGTGTAATATAACAGCCGGGAACGTAAAATTATTAAGAACATTTTATGATTTTAAGCCGCTCTACTAATGAAGATAATAGCAATTATTTTGAATTTATGAGAAATTAACACTGTCTGGATAATTAGAGAAAGTAATTATAACGACGACCATAAAATTCAGAACGTATCAGAAGGGTGAAGTAACCTCCAGAGCTAGATTTAGATGTGTGGTCCTAAGCTGTAAGAAATAAAATAATAATAATAATTCTTTATTCATATTAAGAAATCCTTGTTACAGGGGGAATTGAATAAAATACAAAAAGAAAATTATTAAGTAAATACAAGTAATTCAATTATCTATATAAGATATACAATTGATTAATTGAACATATAGTTATTTATAAGAAATAAAATACACTCTTCTACTTAATAGTAAATTTAAAAATACGAGCTGTAGTTTGTTTAGCTTATGTACAGTACAAATCCGGCTTTGGTAAAACCATTCATATCATGGGCATCCACAGAAAATATTCAGGAGACAAATAATTAAATCAATAAATTTTTATTTAATTGTCCCCTCTGTGGAAACCCGTTATATGTCCTGGATTAGTGATGCCCAAACTACGGCCACGTAATGAAATTCGGCCAGCAATACACGTTAATCTGACCCGCAAATAAATTTGACTCGTCACTTACAAATGATAAAAATAGGTTTATTTTTTGTCTATATGAAATGTAAAAAAATATTTATGGCCTGCCTCCGTATGGCTTATGCAGAATTTGGCCCGCCATTACTTCTAGATAGAGGAGGTGGCATCCTACCGCTAAAAACGTAAAGCAGCTGGCCCGAAAGTACTACTTAATTACATGTGTTTGTAAATAATATCAGAGATACCAAACAATAAAATCAAAGTTATAGTGAAATTAGCTTATAAATATCACAATATTTCAATGAATTGCTTTGATTGTAACGAGAGCGAAATACAATGCAGTAACTAGGCACGTGCTGTGGGATACAAAGGCCCAAGATAAAGGGGACACTACAATAGGGGATATATTAAGAAAAATTGAAGTTTGAGGGGAAAAAAAGATTANAGAGCGAAATACAATGCAGTAACTAGGCACGTGCTGTGGGATACAAAGGCCCAAGATAAAGGGGACACTACAATAGGGGTATCAAAATTGATCACTATTGTATTTTTATTTAAAATTTATTATTATTATTATTATTGAGTAAAAATTTGACAAACAAAAAGGGAAAAAATTAAGTTATTATAGATTAAAATAAATACAAAATAGGATCAATTTAAAATTATTTTAATCAAATGTTTAATTTTTTAAAATATATCTTTTATTTATAAAGTAGAAAAATTTTATATGTACTGTATATAGAGTAATTCACTCTTTTATTTTGTTTAATTAATATTTAGTTAATAAAATCATAATATAAATAAAGATTTCAAAAGAAAATAATTATATAAAAATATTCACATATTTTATTTTATTTTTACAATTAAGCAGAAAAGTTCCGAAGGACAATTGATATCAATATTAATAATCAACATATAATTTCTACAGATCTTTAGTTATATGATAATTATTTGAAATTAATTTTCGGCATGTAAATCATAAATTAATATACAATGACGGACTTATTCGTCCCAATCGTGTAATCTTCATCACCAATATACAATTATTCGTTATTCTAAAAGTGTATTATAATGCTAATATTCCCGTAAAATGATATATTAACTCTATTTTCGTCATTTATAATATTTAATAAAACTTTCAATGATGATTTTCTAGTTATTTAATTTCCCAGTTTTATAGAAAATGCCCCCCTTTTTTTTAATTGTTATAATATAAAAGCAGAAGAAAAAATTTATTATACTTTGTTTATGTTCATTGAAAGAAGAGTTTTACAGATCTAAGAAAAAAGACTGTGTATAACTATAAAACTCCCCTCTTTAACACAATAAACAGTGAGGTCCTCTGCTAAATTCACTCTGTATAGGCCTATACACTTTCAGATGATTCTGTATAATTAGTTATTTAATATTAAACAGTTTTCTGCAGGTGGTCGCATTTAGAAAATATTGAATTAAGATATTTTTTTTTTTTTAGCAAATTAATAAATATTTAATACGAAAAAATTATTTTTAAATATCTGTATAAAATTAAGTGTATTTGTTTATGAGATTTTGGGCATTTATTTAATATTATTTGCTGAATAATTTTATAATCTTAAGGCAAAATCAGTATAGGACTGATAAAAATTTGTAGTCTTGAAACTATTTGTGACTTTATTGCAAATGTTACAATTGCATGTTAAAGATTTTATAGCCTTATTTTACTATGCTATTGTAACTTTAGGTGAGTAATCTGTGCAAAAAGCTTCCTCGGAAAGCAATAAACAAGATAAATAAGCAAACTTTGAACATATTCCGAAATGCTTATACAGTATAGTTTTAAAATTATATTAAATAAAAAAAGAAATTTTGAATGAAGTTATTTTTAAATAATTCAAATTAAATATGAATTTAAAGCCATCTAAATGTAATTCCCATTCTTTTATTCGCATTTTATTGAAAATAAACACACAAAAATTCAAAATAGATTTAATTTACATTTATTAAATCTTCCTAAACCTATAAACGAATGTTAATAGATGATAATTCTTTCATAACATCCCGCCTTATTATACAATTTTGTCGTCACAGTTACGAAATCAGACTCGATTATCTACCATTCATTTAATATTACTTTATGCTATAAATTTTCTTTAATATCGAATAAGCGATTGATAACCCAATACGTAATTTATTTCTATTAAATTTTTTCAGTTTTCTTTCTTTTTATATATGTAATTATCGGATGACTGCAATTAAATTTCTTTTACAGTTATTTAAATCGTTAAAACTGTCAAAGGTAATTGACGTCACAGTTGGTTACCCAATCCCAACAACTCTAAGTTTCAATAAAAACAAAGTTTCTACGCGGTCCGTCTTGTGTTTAACCTTACTAATACACGTACTGAGATCGTCAATAGTTGAGAGCTTTTGGCTTGTGTGGCTGCACTGTCAACATGCAGTCTCTATTGGCACTCGCTATCTTCACATTGGCTGTCACTGCCGTTGCCCACAAAGACAAATTGAAAGTGCCCGTGGGTAAGACATTTTTCCTATTTTTATCCCTGAAAAATTACCTGCAATTGATTTTTTTAATTTTAATTATAAATGTATCTTTATTTAGAATTATTTGTTATTGTTTTTTGTAATTTGATTATTTTATATTTTCAAAAACTGTAACTAATTAAATATTGGCAGGCGGAAATATTTTCTATTGCACTTTTATGCTCCTATAATTAAATTTTAATTACTTCTATTAAGATTTTCAAACGCTTATTTTTGTTAAAAATTGTATGATTATAGGTAGAAAACTTTTAGGACGTTTTGCTTATTGATTATGTATTTATAGACCTATATTAAATTAAAATACGTTTATATTTTTTAATTAGTATAAAATTTATTATATCAGGCGACGTCGTGGGCCTTTTTTCCTTGGGGCCCTTTTAGACTTTTGTCTTTTTTTGAACAAATAAAATACTGTAGTCCTAAAGATTTTATTTTCTGTCAGTAAAAATAACGTTAATTTTATAGGGATAGAAAATCGTTAGGGCCCCCTAAGTTTTCTGCGGGCCCGAACAATTTTAAAATCTCCAGTTTCCTTCTCGACGGGCCTGTTTATATCTTATTAAATTGGCTCATAGCTATACTTTTGCATTCTTTCTATATACTGTAAATACACATATATATATAAAGTAATGACTTCTATCCAAATTTTTAATGTATTTTTGTAATGTACTCTGTAAATAATATTGAATTTACTAGCGCAAATTAATTATAGAATAATTTATTATTATTTTATGGTTCATAAATTACACCATAAGGAAAATAGAGTTTTAATTTCGCTTATTAATGTTGTATTTTAACTGTAAAGGACCTATCGATGTTAGTGTTAAGTGCACTCTTGTTAGATACCGATTATCTATTATTACCATCATTTTGTGGATGAAAAGTTTATCATTTTAAAGATGACAAACATTTTGTTTGTCATTTTAAAAGAGAGATAAACTTTTCACACGTTTCCAAGGTTTCTAATGTCTAGATAAATTGCTTTGGTGGTTTTTATGTTATAAATAAACCTTCGTAAATGTTATTTAAATGGGACAACACGATGAAAAATGTAATAAACAAACTTTTATATAAAAATATTATAGGATTATAGAAATAAATATCCACGCGCACGTATAATAAAACCCGTATTAAAGTCTAAAATCAGAAAATATTGCTAATAATTAAATGTAAAATTGTAAATAAAATTTCCTGGAGAATTTATTGATAGGATGTATCATAGGATTATTATGAGTTATTACTATTTCATTGAAACTAATGACGTTGGGCAAGCTTATATATTTAATTAATTCAAGAAACAGACATTATTCCTGTTAATATTTATGAGACAGTTGTATGCATAGGTTTATATAAATTATATAGTCTTATGTTAATAAATAGAAATGTTGATGTTTGAGGATTGTAAAGGTTTAAAAATATATTCAAATATTCAAGGACGTTGAATAAATTCTAAGAGTTTTCCTATTATATCGCTGTCATTTATAACTTCTATTTTCTATAGAAATTTTGTTTGTGATTACAATAAAACGGAAAACATTTTCAATTATTTTTTTTTTAACTCTGCTGCTTTAGTGAAAAATTCGAATTTTCTTAAAATAATCAACATACACATTACTCTTTTAAAAATCATTTTAGAGAATAAATCTTAGAAATATTAAAAGAAAATTATTCTATTAATTTTTCAGAATAAGAGGAAGAATAGAATGCTTAGAAAATGTTAATTATTTTCTTGAACTTGAATTACTAATGTACAGTACGTAATTACTGTATTCTTTCCACTTATTGTAATCTGTACGATCTGATGAAAGCATTAAATGCACACTTAAGTTAATGAAGGCATCTGGCAACCGATGATGATTTTGCAGAAAATGCAATTAATTATATTCGTTACCGAAATATTTCGTATCGAAATGATAAACAAGACCACCAAGATGAAGTTTTACGTAGATAAAATCTGTAATTTCCACGTTAGCTCAAAGTGGCATGCAACATAAAAATGACTGCTTCTCAATAGTTGCATTGTACTTCTCTATTCACACATATCACAATTACAAACACACCATATAATTTCTCACCAACTTCTTTTTCTGCAAATGAGGAAGTAGTAGTTTTTTAAATTGGTTTTTACTAACTTTTTGATGTATTGCACATGGATGCACTCGTTATCCCTTAAGCTCGTTATCTGTACCAAACACACTCACGTCAATCTCTTAGGTCAAATATGTGATAAGGCATCAATGAGAGGTATTGATAATTTGGTTGTTAAACTGTCAAACACGCTTTATGGAACAAAGTGCTCTGGCTTAAAATTGTTACATATAAAGTGCGTTGACTCGCAAACTTATAAAACTTATTATTTCCTGCACAGTTATAAATGATTCTCTTAGTTTCCAATGAAAAACATACGTCAAGTATTTGCAACACTGTATAAATTTCAATATGGTTTTGATTTATAATTTAATTTCGTTGGGAGTAAGCATAGAATTGCTGTAGTGAATTTATCATACAGGAATACAGCTGATTGATTATGAAGATTTTATTATATAAAAAAGGTCCCTCTTCAGTCCTTATACATGTATGAAATGATGTATTTTTGGTGATAAAGAAAAAAATTACTCCAGTTAAGGATTAAAACAAAGTTGAAAATTGCTAAAAATTGATGGATTATTTAGTAAATTTGTGTGTGTGTATCTATTAAGATACACTAAAAATAATTTAATTTAATTTATTTAAAGTATGCTTGAGATAAATTTTGCATTAATAAAATGCATATATGTCCGGTCGCTAAGTTCTGAAGTTAACATTATTTTAAGTTTTTGAGATATGATTTACCTAAAAATATGATTCTAATTATGAAAAGTAAGAATATAATTTTTTTATTACGCAGTTTAAATATGTTTTTAATTAAGAACAATTAATCAATGTTTCAATAATTGGCTTAAAAATTATAATATTAAAAACTGCACCTTTAATTTTCATGATTTAGCAATTACTTAAAGTGGTTTTTCGATAGATCTTAATCTTGCAAGGTTTTAAACAACGCAAAATGTTAAGTATTAAAAACTCAAATGAATTTAATAACATGACACATAAATGAAGTCTCAATTCATTTATAAGAGAACAGAAATATCAAATGGCAATGAATGATTATTATTATATAATTTATAATTATTAAATCGTAAAGAGCATACTTTAAGAAAAAATTAACACTAATATAAATTTTATTTATTATATTTTTTTAAATGAAAATCTTAACTAAAATAATTTTTCATAGAATATATACGTTACATAATTTTCATTATATTCATTAATTATTAGGATTAATTTGCAATACCCGATACTCACATTGATATATAGAAATTAATTCTTAGATAAGTTAAACGGTTTTCCATTTTTGTCAATATTTAAACATTCATTTCTAAGAAAAACGATTTAAAAAAGGAAACAAAAACCTCTTCGACCTTGTCTCGTTTGACAAAAATCGTTGATCAAACGTACAGACCAACGTTTCTATTTTCCGGGATATGACACGTGGTATTTTAATCACAGTTAACGTTAAAAATTACTCATTATTAACTCATTCGTATAGAAAAAAAAACCAACTTTAATCCTTAAAAATTTTGTGCAGATACGAAAATTCTTTACTGTGGATAAACAAATTTTCTTATCATCATTCAAAGTCATAAAATATTATTTTTAATACTCCACTTGAGATTGTTTTCAAATCATTTTTTAAATGTCTGAAGAGATAAAGTAAATAGATTTTTTTCCTTTTATTATTTTCCACTTACAAAATATATCTGGAAAAAAAAGTTATCTACGATATGAAGAGTGATAACTTCCTCCTATAACTTTTTTGTACATAGTCGCGCTGATACTTTTTTTTCCTTCCTCATTTTTGTAAATATAAATATACATTTTGGTAAGATTAAACTGGTTTATATGCATTAAAAATTAATATAAAAACTTTGTTTTAATATTAAATGATTAATTTTATAGGTGTGCTGTATAGGAAAGGCGAAGAAGAAATTGTGAAATCAATTGAATCTGCATTTTCTAAAGAAAGACACGATAACTTTTCAATCAAAGTAATAGAACAGTCATACGAATTGTCAACTCAGATCCATAGAAGAGGTGATGATATGTTATGTTATATATATATATATATTTCAGTAATTTTAAGTAGATTTTTCCACATTCCTCCTCTAACCATGGAAATATCTGACGTGTGATTGGAGTCAATTGAATCTTTTCGGTCCAGCGCCTCGTTTCTCATCAATCACTGACAAAAAGGAAGTGTTCAGTTAAAGTGCTGAGGCTAACGTGTCGCTTCGAGTGTTCTACGAATATCCAAAACAAAACTTGCAATCTAATCCAACTTATCCTTGATCAGATATTAGTCTATATTGCCTTAGTTACAAAGGACTTAATTGAATGGCCATGCCTCAGGAAAGAGTTTTTTTCTCGTATGTCCTTTAGGTATTGTTCCGTTAAGTGGCTCATAAACTCGTTTCTAGAATACGTGTTATTCGAAATACTGTTATTGGATCAAATAACGGAACTCTCTAAACAAACACTTCTTGTATTTAAATGTAAATCGCCTGTCACAATAAATTATTGAATGTTTATCTAATCCAGCCGAGAATTTCGATTTTTTTTTAATTTTCGTCTCGAAAACTTAAGTCAACTATTCTTTTTCTCTAACAAGTATTCAATGCATGCTAATTTCCGTTTAATTTACTTCCTGTGCAGAGACGATAGAATTGATGAGGTTAACTAGGCGCGGATCAAGGTTATTAGTTTGTCTCCATCGATTAAAATGGCTTAAAACACAGAAGACATCGCTTATTGTAATCACGAATATTGTTATTAATCATCAGCCTAGAACATTAAACAATTCATTAATATCCGTTTAATGTTACCAGAGAGGTCCCAAAATATAAAGGAAAAATACAAATTTTTTCTCGTGGTAATCGAAATTCGGTTATTGTTATCATTATCTTCAGATAAATAAGGGTTTTTAAATTATCTTTTCAAGCTATAATATCAATATGATTGATAACATAATCCTTATCAATTATTTATCAGTCTTAACTAGTGCTTTAAACGTTAATCGTTTTAATCGTTATTTGATTGCAATACAGTTAAAATTGCTAGCATTTTTTAAAATTATACATCAACTAAGACAAACAGTACTAATGTAAATTAATAATAATAATTAAGTAATTTCTAGGTACTACTTACAGGAAAAGGCATATAATACATCATTATCTTAATAATTATTTTTCAATATCAGTCAATAAAATTAACCGTAGTCTTATTTACAACTTCACTTAATGTTATCAACACAGGAGAATCCATTAAGCGATTACATTAAGCGGATTCTTGTGTGTTAATGGAAAATGAACCAGTTGTAATTTGAGACGATCAAAGTTTATTTAAAAAATTTGGTAAAATAATATTTCAAATTCTGGGTAAATTATCTCAAGTTAAACTACTTCAAATTTATGAAATTTTAAAATTTTATTAATATTAGATGTGCAAATTACATGATTGAATTTATTAGCCTTGTTTATTAACATTGATATATAGATTATTATATGTTAAGTATATACTATTTTTCGACTTCATTCATCCTATTTTCATAGAAAGAAGGAGAAAAATAATTCTAAAAATTATAAAGTATTAAATTTAATTCCCTAGAAAAATTTCCACTTAATTTCTAAGTAAATCTTACATACAATTTAATAAAATTTATAATGAATTTTATTTTTTCTGTATCTCTCCGTAGATTTCCGTATCTGGGTTATAACTTCTAATTAACCCGATTTTATTTATTTATTTATTTATTTTGCCTAATTAAGCTTGTTTACATTCATATAATTTTAATCATTAATATCTAACTACTTCTTAAAGTTGTATTTAAAATTATATATATATATTTTTTATAGAACCAATTTCTTACAAGATATTTATTTATTTACAGTTTGCTCATTATTAGCGAAAGGAATAACAGTGTTAGTAGCATCTACTCCCTTCGCAGACACTTCGAATTTCTTAGTGTCGATATCGAATAATTATCATTTACCATTCATCAATCTCTTAGATTCCGAATTTACAGATAGAAAATCTCATTTCAAATTAAGCATGATGATGAATACAGCAAAAGCTACTTCAGATACAATTAGTTTTTACGGATGGAAATCTGCGATATACGTAAGAGATAAAGTTAAAAGTAAGTGTAAATATCATTGGAATTTTTGTCGATTAATTATTTACGATTGTTTATAAATTCCTCCACAAGAAAAAAGGATTATACTCGAGAAAAACCTAATTTTATCTGTCAAGGTTTGATAAGCTATATATAGAATTAACGCTTATTGCGATCATCTCGACTCGCGAATAGATGAGACAAATTGGCGAGTCACACCCTAAAGTGGATATAGAATTATTGTAACTTTAGAACAACTTAATAGTAACAAGCGGATCTATCTACTTTTTCAGTTTTTATGAGTCGTTAAGAGGAATGGTTGATATCCTAAAGAGAATGCCGTTCTTGAAAATAAACGGCTGAGAAAGTTTTAATTATTGTTTACAACTTCTTATCGACTTTTTAAAACACGAATAATTATAATTAACAAACTAAGTTATTAATAACTCAAATGGTTTTATAATTAGAGGCACAACGCGTAACTAATCTAAAAATAGAATAATTTTCTTTCCTAATTGAATAGTTTTTCGATTTCATTGAAGGAAAAGTTGATTATAATTATAATTAATCTGCTAGGAAAATTTCTATATAGTTTAAGTAATTATTATTTAAAATTTAATAAAATGTTATTTATAAATTTGATATTTTTTTCCTGCATCTCTTCCAACTTAAAGTAAGAAATTATATTTACTTATTTATATTCAGTACTATAAAAACAGTACTAATTTTTTATTGTAGTTAATAGAATTTATCTTCGATATGTACTATATTTTCTGATCTAAATTTATTTATTTATCTATAAATTTAAGTTCACATATACTGTACTGTATACATGTTAATTTGTTTAAAATTTTTAGACTTGTATGATGAATATTTCTATGATTTATGGCATGAATATTATACTTAGAATTCTATATTAATTGAAATTAATTTTTATTATACATTGTATAACGTAAATTATGATTATAATTTATAAATTTTCTTTTGTAGTCTTGTTATCAGTACAGGAGAATTCATTAAATGATTACATTAAGCGAATTCTTGTGTGTTAATGGAGATTGTAATTTAAGATGATTCTCTTAATAATTAGTCTTTTTGTTAAGTATATTAAACATAAAACATAAATTTAGTTTAAAATACAGTAGACTCCCTATAACACTGTTGATAATTCCGCGTTATATGAATTCCATGTTATACGAGTCACTTAGATTTTACAAATACGTGAGCCGTTCACAGCCCAGCACATGCATTTGTAAAATATAAGCGACTCGTACAACATGGAATTCATATAACGCGGAATTATCAACAGTGTTATAGGGGGAGGTCTACTGTATTAAGATTTAAAATTAACGTACAGACAACTTTTGATGATGAAATTTGAATTAAATTCTAAACGTAAAACATATAGTTTTTACATAATTTTTAGGATATTTGTTATGTAAATTGAGTCATAATTTTGATTTTTTTTAAATAGAAAAAAATACTGAAAGTATTTGTTTTAAAAATGTTTCTTAATTTAATAAATTTTTTTATGAAGATTATGAAAATATGTGTTAAAAAATTACGCAAAGACACATTAAAAGATAATGAAATTACCCAGAAGAATAATATCTTTTAGGCATTCTATATTTTTTAATTATTTTTTTAAATTTATTTTGAATATTAACGATGTGCAATAATTAATTTAATCACAATTTAATTAAAAAGATGAAAAAAATATATATAACTAGATTAATTTTCTTTTTTGTCAATATAATTTTAACTAACTGCTTCGGATTTCAAAGGATATGTCATTGCTTATGTATACACATTGATTAAATTGTTACAAAGAATATACTGTCGTAAATTTCAATTATTAATCGATTAAAAACGTAATAAATGGTTATACATTTAATTAATTGATTAATTTCGCTTGCTCTTTTTGTTTATATTTAACCTTTTTGAAAGTTTTTTTCTGCTTTTTTAATATGATATTTAATCTTTTTACCTTTTTTGATGCAATCCCATGCTTAAAAACTATTATAAAACTATAGAGAGTTTGATATACTGTATTAAGCATTTAAAATATTGAGTTAATACTCTAAAAATATCGGAATTTGAATCATATTTTAAAAGAGTTTATAATACTTTACATTATTGCTAAATTGAATCATTATATATACGGGGAGACCGGGGCAAGATCGGCATGTTAAGCTTTACTTAAATTTTGTGTAATAAATACTGCTGTAAACTGAAAAAAAAGCTTTGCATATTGTCTATTGGAATGTTACCTTACTATAGAACTGGTTAAAATCAGTTTGGAAATAAAAATAATTAAAATAATTACAACTTTACAAGAAGAGAGAAATTGACGAAGTTGCCCCGGGTATAGGGGCAAGATCGGCAACTTCTCTCTTTTTGTAAAGTTGTAATTATTTTAATTATTTTTATTAAAGTTGCCCCTGGTATAGGGGCAACAGTAATGGGGCAAGATAGGCACGTATATAAAATTATGTTATTAACAATGTATAAGTTGGAATTCACTATTAAAACAAAGAAATACAAATCCAACACCCATTTAATATTATTACAACGAAATGCAAGTTCAAAGACATATATACATGAATAACAAATGCAAACATGTTTTCATTTATCATCTGTTTGATTTTTATCCTTTGCTTCTAATGTGGCTTTATGTTGCCGATCTTACCCCGCTAGTCATGATTTCGAAACATTAAGTACAACCCTGAGAACAGAATGCCAAGCCACGATCTGGCCACGTGAATAAGTTGAAGTTACATCCTTCTAACAGGAAAAGTAACTTTCGTTATCATGGAATTATAACAAAACCTGCCAATTCAATATAAATGGAAAAAAAATATTATATGGAATTGAACGAAAATGAAAATTTGCTTGATAATTCAACTACGCTTGTTGGAGAACAATAAAAACACTACACTCAACAAGCCACCAATAAAACTCAACTGCCTAACCTATAACCAAAGTCTCCTTTTAATTTGTTTTTAAAAAAAAAACGCTTGACAAACTTGCCCCGGTCTCCCCTATATATATTAATATTGAGTCATTAAGCTCTTAAAGCTTCTTCTAAACTAAGAAATTATTTAAGAAGTAAAACAATTTGTGATATAAATACCCTAGCAATTGAAATTACAAGCCTAGGAATTCGACAAGATGGCGATGACAATTTATTATAAAATTAAACAGGAAAATATTACAATTGAAAATAGTTGTAAAATTTGGAAAAATCTAATTACTTATTATTTTTTTATTTAATAAATAAAAAAATTCACCCAAATAAAATAAAAGTGAAAATAAAGAATTGAAACTCGTTATCTTATCTGGAACTAACAGTCTAATAATCGGAGTCTAGTAAAGCCAGTAGATGCCATATTGGTAATCTTAAATAGAATATTAGTGAAATCTGATCAATACGCTTTTCCTTTAATAAAAAGCTTTATTAGGCCTAAGCTTATCAGTTAAGTACAGTGAACTCTCGTATAACGCGCTCACCTATAACACGAATTCGTATAATGTGATTTCCTATAACGCGGAACGTATCTCACGCGTTGTATGGGAGTCCTCTGTAGTTACTAAAGAAACAGATATTAAGGTTTTTACCTTCTGGTGTTTAAAAACACTATAATTTATTTTATGTGGACCAAGTTTTGGGTCGTTCGAATCCTTCCTGGTGTTAGCCGTCCGTCAAAATTGATGTTTGAACAGGGCATCAATATGCATAAAATGATTTTGCTCGTTTGTTTCGATAATACAATACTACAAAATGACATGTTCCACTAGCAATTATTGCTCTCCTTTTATAAAATTTTTCGAAAAACAACTTTAAGCAGCATAAATCACTATATAAGACAGTAATATGTGTTTAATTTTACGTTTGTGTAGTGACAACCGACCAGTATAAAGTAGCCATTTTGTGAAAAACGTTGATAATCATATTTCACATTTTCTACACTTTTGCATTAATATCATACTCACTTTGCAGTCTGTTGAACAGCACATTTATTGTAAAGTAATATATAATAAAGTATAAATACGGGAAAATAGTTTGAACAAACAACAGATTTTGAAGATGGCTGCCAATTTTCTCCACAACAAGCTCTAATCCATAAAGCGTCCTTTCAAAACCTGATTTCTTTAAAATTTCTTTTATAAAATACAATGTTTTATCTAATTTTATACTAATGTTAAACATATTTTTACTCGTGAATGATTTATTATTGTAAACTAAATACATTTAGGCTATCTATTGTACACTTACCTGTAAAATGCTATTTTTTCTTTTCATTTTTCACCTTATTTATTGTTATTGTACAACAGAAAGATAAACAATATATCATTATACTAGAGGCTTGGATATTTCTTTTTATATCTACGGATATAGATGTTATGTAGGCCTATAGGTACTAAGGTAATTAGTTTTCAACTATTAATTTCCCCATCAATAAAGGAGAAGAGTCTTTTTCTTGAAATTTTAAGTTAAATACTCATATATGCGCATATTTGAGCCTACAATTAACAGAGATTTAGAATAAGATTTTTAAAAATTTTAATTTAATATATTTAGTTATTGTTTGGTACAATTAGAGGGTTTATTGAGGATAAGTATTACATAATTTTGAGGGTTGGTATGTATGACACATTATAAAGGATTACAGGAGATGTGATGATAGTTGAAAAGTCTAAAATAGCATTACATAGCTTACGGACGATTGGATTCTATATATTCATTCCTTTGGATTTCTGTAGGATTTGAGATAAAAAAACAGTAGTTTGACAACTTTTGGGAATTTCTCGTTTAGTGTATTAACTCAACCCCATTATTATTTCTTGCGGACCTTTCAGAACTTTAGGATCTATTATCATTGACTTTTTGAGTTTAAATTGTGCTTAATTTTGAACATTTACGAGTCAATCTAACAAAAATAATTACTGGAAACTAATGTAAGCTATACCTTTTAAAAAAACTTTCTTGCGCTCATCCGATTCACTAATGATAAAACGATATAATTATATTCAATTATAATCTGTAATTATGATATAAAATGTAATGATTCTAATAAATAAAATATACAGTATATTACCTTTCCATTAAAATTTGAATAATCTTATTAACTAAAGTAATTCATGGTAATTTAGCTTAGACACATAAAGCTACTTCGATAAAAATATGCTAGTTATTCTCCTGCCACGAAAGATCTGAATCCGATCTGAACACATGTGATTTTTCATTATTATTATTATGGACCATTCTCACAACTGAATTGAGGCTCAGATTCTCCATAATAGACGTAATTGAAGCAGACAGTATAGCGCATATTAAGGTAATTCTTCACGATAAAATTCCAACAATAGTGTGCTCATTTCAATGTGTGAAAATCCGAAAAATGTTTGGATAAAGTGGAAGCTAAGATGTAAAGAAAATACTTGTACATTTATCAAGTAACGGCGAGTAATGAATGCTACCACCATTTAATCATTCATCACTCATGACCTTTTCCGAAACAAATCTTGTTTGTAGATAACCATATGTTCGGATATTAATATTAGGATAATATATATCCGTTCAGATATCCGATTGAAGCGTATCGTGCTCCGGATTCGGTTCACATTCGGACAAACTCTTCTATATTCCAAGTGATTTGTAAGCATCTTGCAGAAGGATAATGATAAGCGATTTAAAAAAGATGAAAATATACGAACAAACCATTTAAGAAAGACAATATAAATTATTTTAATCAGAAAAAACTTCAAATGTTATAATTTTTAATTTGATAATTAAGGAAAAGTAATTTCTTTGACTTTAAACTATTTGAAAATCATTGAAAACTTTTCCATCTACGAGATAAAAATAATTCCTTTATTCGATACTAAAATAATGCTTATCTTTAACAAATACTGTACTTAGAAACATTGATTAAAATGGAGAAATTGGGTAATTACATGCTCGAGTTAAGCATAGGTTAATTACTTTTCGTTATTAATTCAAATTAAACCCATTTTTGTAATTGATCAGTGTTCCACTTTCAGATAAGGATATCTTTTTACTTGTTTTACTGTTCTCAATTCAGATATATAGATAATAAAATTGTCATTGAACCATATTAAATCTAATTTAATTCTTAAAATACAGTAAGTGCTATTCATTTCTCTAATCGTTGACAGCTTCCATTTTAACAGATAGGTATCACCGCTTTATTCCATTATACGTTTCGAAATTAAATTAAATTCGAAATTATTTTGATGCTTTCATTTTATTTATTAAGTTAAAATTAAGTTATTAATTATATCAAAGAAAATGAAGGTAATTTAAATATTTTAAATATAATTTTAAAAACAGATGAGTCAGTTTGTTTGCCAGCACTACGTTAACATATTTGTACTAATTAATTAAAAATTATTTTTAATTAGTTCTGTTATATATATATAATAATAATAATTTTAAATTATAAAAATAATTTGGCTTTTATTTATTAAGATAATATAAAAAGTCTATTTGTCGCTATTGTGTGTCGCTAATTAATTAATATTTAATTGCAATGCCTTCAATTCGATTCTATTGATCTAATTTTAGAATATTTGTAAATTGAATACTTTAATTTTCGAATCGATATTTTTTTTTATTGTATAATCTAAAGAAATTTATGGTAAAAAAATAAAAATATAAACATATTGACTGAAAAATGCTGTGGATAAAATATTAAGAGAACTGAACTATGAGAAAGCATTGAATTTAGTAAAAAAGATTGCACCTTGTCTTAATGGAAGTTTTGATTCGTACTATGCAATGTGATCTGTATTTATTCGCTGGTGTGTGAAATTAATACTTTAAATGGAAACAAAATAATAGTAACGTACTATAAAAGAGAAAAAAACTTTCATTAAATCCGCATTTTCTTTTTCTATTTCATATAAAATGTTTAAATTCTTAAGGTTTAATAATAAACATACTTGGCTGTTGAGAGCTTAAATAGGGCCTGGGGTAGACTCATTTTTTTGGGAAAGTGAAATACGTAGACTTTATTAATAAAATAAAATTTTTAAGGCTACTTTTTATGTTATTTCTACTAACATTAATTTTATAAGAGTAGGAATCCCTAAGTTTTGAACTCTAGGTCTGGGAAAAGTTCCCAAGATCCCTTCTTTAAGGCTCTGTTGTACGTACGATAAAGTTTGAAACGTTAAATAATCATATCTAAATTAAATTTTAAAAATATTTTATTGGAAGCTATTCATAATACGCATAAAATATGGTTTCTCGAGACAAGTTTTTTTCCCGTCAGACTCTTAAAAGTTCATAAAAATACGAAATCAGATCACCTCTTAAGATATTTTAATTGTAGAGAAAATCCAGATTCGTTATAAATAAACTTCTATTCGAACCATTCATTTAAGAACGATATTTTATAAATATCGGTAACAAAATTCAGGTGATTCCGAGAAAACAGACAAAGATGCAATGTTATTTTCTGAAGAGTGGTAGAAACAAAGTAATACGATCGTTCTTTCCACCTTACAGTATAGATTAAGTTACGAGTCGACAAAACTATCTCCACTTGACTAAGCAGGAGGTTAAAGAAAGTCAAGTGTTTGACTCACCAAAATTTTCTTTTTTTGTAAATTCGACTATTGTCGCAGTTCTAGAAACTAGAAATGAACGTAATGCCTGTTTTTAATTCGATCCTGTGTTGACCCACAACTGTAAATCCAGATAGAATATCTCATCAATAACAAACTAATTAAGTTGTACTTATAAAATTCCTCACTCCATATATTTTGTTTATTTGTTTTAAAAAAGAATTCTTTATTTTTTTTTCAGATTTTGAAAATATATTGCAGTTTTTACAAAAGACGAATTTAGATACTATGTTAGACAATATTGTTTATCAAGTACCAGAAACCATATTAGGATACATGGAAATTCTACCGAAAGATTTCAAACAGTTGAACATAGTATTGAATGTTCCTCTGGAGACTATTTATGACATCCTTCCTATATTATTAACAAAATATGACGAGAGAATAGCTCACATCCTCATCACACGTCCAGTAAGAGTTGAATTTTCAATAATAATTTTTTANAATTAAGCAGAAAAGTTCCGAAGGACAATTGATATCAATATTAATAATCAACATATAATTTCTACAGATCTTTAGTTATATGATAATTATTTGAAATTAATTTTCGGCATGTAAATCATAAATTAATATACAATGACGGACTTATTCGTCCCAATCGTGTAATCTTCATCACCAATATACAATTATTCGTTATTCTAAAAGTGTATTATAATGCTAATATTCCCGTAAAATGATATATTAACTCTATTTTCGTCATTTATAATATTTAATAAAACTTTCAATGATGATTTTCTAGTTATTTAATTTCCCAGTTTTATAGAAAATGCCCCCTTTTTTTTAATTGTTATAATATAAAAGCAGAAGAAAAAATTTATTATACTTTGTTTATGTTCATTGAAAGAAGAGTTTTACAGATCTAAGAAAAAAGACTGTGTATAACTATAAAACTCCCCTCTTTAACACAATAAACAGTGAGGTCCTCTGCTAAATTCACTCTGTATAGGCCTATACACTTTCAGATGATTCTGTATAATTAGTTATTTAATATTAAACAGTTTTCTGCAGGTGGTCGCATTTAGAAAATATTGAATTAAGATATTTTTTTTTTTTTAGCAAATTAATAAATATTTAATACGAAAAAATTATTTTTAAATATCTGTATAAAATTAAGTGTATTTGTTTATGAGATTTTGGGCATTTATTTAATATTATTTGCTGAATAATTTTATAATCTTAAGGCAAAATCAGTATAGGACTGATAAAAATTTGTAGTCTTGAAACTATTTGTGACTTTATTGCAAATGTTACAATTGCATGTTAAAGATTTTATAGCCTTATTTTACTATGCTATTGTAACTTTAGGTGAGTAATCTGTGCAAAAAGCTTCTTCGGAAAGCAATAAACAAGATAAATAAGCAAACTTTGAACATATTCCGAAATGCTTATACAGTATAGTTTTAAAATTATATTAAATAAAAAAAGAAATTTTGAATGAAGTTATTTCTAAATAATTCAAATTAAATATGAATTTAAAGCCATCTAAATGTAATTCCCATTCTTTTATTCGCATTTTATTGAAAATAAACACTTAAAAATTCAAAATAGATTTAATTTACATTTATTAAATCTTCCTAAACCTATAAACGAATGTTAATAGATGATAATTCTTTCATAACATCCCGCCTTATTATACAATTTTGTCGTCACAGTTACGAAATCAGACTCGATTATCTACCATTCATTTAATATTACTTTATGCTATAAATTTTCTTTAATATCGAATAAGCGATTGATAACCCAATACGTAATTTATTTCTATTAAATTTTTTCAGTTTTCTTTCTTTTTATATATGTAATTATCGGATGACTGCAATTAAATTTCTTTTACAGTTATTTAAATCGTTAAAACTGTCAAAGGTAATTGACGTCACAGTTGGTTACCCAATCCCAACAACTCTAAGTTTCAATAAAAACAAAGTTTCTACGCGGTCCGTCTTGTGTTTAACCTTACTAATACACGTACTGAGATCGTCAATAGTTGAGAGCTTTTGGCTTGTGTGGCTGCACTGTCAACATGCAGTCTCTATTGGCACTCGCTATCTTCACATTGGCTGTCACTGCCGTTGCCCACAAAGACAAATTGAAAGTGCCCGTGGGTAAGACATTTTTCCTATTTTTATCCCTGAAAAATTACCTGCAATTGATTTTTTTAATTTTAATTATAAATGTATCTTTATTTAGAATTATTTGTTATTGTTTTTTGTAATTTGATTATTTTATATTTTCAAAAACTGTAACTAATTAAATATTGGCAGGCGGAAATATTTTCTATTGCACTTTTATGCTCCTATAATTAAATTTTAATTACTNTAAACAGAACAGAACCTACCTCTCAATTATTTTCCAGATTTGAAGAATATAAAACTGTAAGTTAATATATATTATAATTTAAATTTAGATTTATTGTATCTCTATAAATATAATTCATGCTTAAAATTTAAAAAAATAATAATAATTTATAATTAACTTTAAAGCTTAATTCATAAATATTGTTCTATTAAATTAGATAATTTTATTACACATTTTATTAGTTATTAGATTTAATTACTAATAAAATATTTTAATTAGATTTAATACTTTTAAATAATTATATATAATGTTGTTTAACTAGATTTTAATTAGATTTAATCACTAATAAAATGTTTGATTTGATTTAACTAATTATGCATGTTTTAATGTAATAGGAGGAACCATTTTTGGCTTTTGATGCTGGTAAAGTAATATTTAAGGCACTTGATCAGTTACATAATACAAATTTTTCTTTCATTAAAGAAATTAGTGTTAATAATACAAAACACATAAGCAACTGTAAAATTCATCCCTCGGTTCCTTGGATCCATGGATTAAGTGTAGCTAGAGCATTGAAAGAAGTAAGTATATTTATTGTTTACAACAGCATGCAATTTGTATAGATAATAAGCTATGTACTAGCATATTTACTCTCTGTTAGAGTAGTAATATTTAAGTATTAATCAGTAGTAGTAGATGAGATATTAATTAATCAATCTTTTATCATTAAATGTACATATATATTGATAATATGTCAGTATTTATCTGCAGATACAGATTTGATGAGTGAATTATGGAAGTTAGTTGTATTATAATTTAATGTTAACAGGTTCTTTACAGCTACAAAGGAGTATTTATGAATAAAATAATAATAGTATTAATATTTCTGTAAATGATGTAACAGAAATTACCAGTAATAGTTAATATATGGAGCAGTAATAATTTTTAATGTGTTTTTCCATTGAAAATTCAACAAAAATAATAATTAAATACAAAAAAAAAGACATGAGATCAAAAACATGCCTAGTGAAATGTGAAATTGATCTGAATGAATTAATGAAATCTCATTTATCATTCTTGATGTCAAAGATAAAAAAAATCTTATTTTTATACAGAGTACCAGGAATTGTAAATTAGATTATTTTAAATACAGTGAGGTCGTGATTTACGCTGTCTTATTTTAGGGCATTTTAAAATAAATCTTTTTTCTTTATAATACAAGAGATAATATTTAAAACGCGCTATTTTTTTTTAAAAAAACTTGCAAAATTAATTGCTAACTGGGGAAATCAACTGATCACCACAGAGTAATAGTTACAAATTACAGTTTTTTTTCTTTTTTTTTCAATTTTACTCTAAGGCAATTTCAGTTTTTTATATATTTATATGAGGTGGAAAATACTATGTCATAAATAACATTTCAACCTATATATGTTAATTATAAAATATTTTCTTAATCGTAAACTGTACTTAAAACTTAATTTTAAATTATTAGCATAAATTAAACATAAAACGTATTTGTGAATGATTACGCTTTCGCAGAACACATCCTCTCGAATTTTAATGTATTTCTATAGAATAAACGGATATTGATTCTCACGAATCTTTATTTACCCTTGTACTCCGGCTAAAGCAACCCACGCGTAAATCGCAATCCAATTCTATTAATACTGTATGTGGGAAAACTACATTTTAAAATTGATATTTGTGTACTGTACAGTACATGATACCCACGAGGTGAAAAGAGATTCTTTTCTCATGCTCGTCGTGGCTTCGGCCATCCCTAAAGTGATTGCAGCAATATACTAGCGATTCATCTTATTATCTCGAATCATTTACAAGTGATGAAGATGATAAATGTGATGTCGATGTAAGCAATGAAAGCAACGAACAAGATGATCGCGAATTTATTTGTGATAATGTTCAATACAATGAGAACGATTCTGGTAATCCTCTCACTTTTAAATGTCAAAATTGGCGAATGCGACCTGTGCGAATGGGAGAAAATTATCGACAAAAAATTTTATGACTATCATCAGTTGCTAGATGATGATGATAAATCTTGTGAGTAATTTGAACTGGTAAACGAAAAACAAACTTTGCCACCGCGAAGAATACTAGAGAAAACTCGGAGAAGAAGAGAGATGAAGATAAAAGATGAATGATGTAAACAAAATGTGTTCTATGGAAGAAGAGATAAGAGGAAAGAAATGAGGGGGAAGGCAGTAGAAGAAGAAAGAGAAATTTATATTAAGAAAGAAAAAGAAAGGCGTTAACATGGGCAAAATGCAAGAATGAAAAGGAAAAATGCTCCGATTCCGATGATGATAATTCCGCAAAAAGTTATTAAATTGCATTAATAAATCAACGGAATAAAGTTGTATTCAATAAAAACTTTACATTTTCAAAGATTTCATTACATTTTAAAATAAATATATATTAGTAATAAAATTTACGCGGCTTATACATGTTTTACGCACATCATTGTCTAACTGGACAAATGAATCAATTAGCGTTTATCTTTTTTAATTTGAATTTAAAAATCAACTTTACTGCCATCTGGAGGATCAAAGATAAATTAAAAAAAGTAAACATAATATAATTATATACTTTTCTTAAGAGTTTTCCTTGATTTTTTATGAATATTTTATATATTTTAATTCGAATAAAATTTTTAATTATCGAATTAGGTTCGTAATTGTCATGGTTTTTCTGGAAATGTACAGTTCGATTCACTCGGACGAAGAAGAATTTATACTTTGCATATTATAGAAATGTCTCATTCCGAAACTAGAAAGGTGAATTTTATATAAAATTATATATTATATTATTCTATAATAACTTACGCTTTATTAATTATTTTCAATTTTTTAATTAAGTAATCTATGATTAGTTTGAAAATTTCCCGATAGATGGCAAGATGTTTTTAATTTTTCAGATCGGTAGTTGGTCCGATAAAACTGGATTGACATTAAACGAACCTGTCGTTACTTCACCTGAAAAATTTCCTTCGTTTATGGTATCAAAACCAGAAGAAAAACAAAAGAAAACATTCGTCATTACTTCTATATTGGTATATTAAGTATTCATAATCTTAAAACGCAAACTTAATCACCGGCGAGGCGATAATACATACATTTATGCACCAATTATGCATCTGTGTTTGAATTTTAGCGAACGAGCGGAAGAAAAATGCATTAAAATACCTAAGAATCAATATTTTCTACTTATAAATTTAAAAAAGTATCATTCTGTTCGTCTATTTGCTTATGTAAGAGATTTTCATCCAGCGCATCTCATTTAAAGGACGAAAATTTGGCATTGAAAAGTATATTATGAACCCAATTTAGTTCAGGTTTTAAATACTTTTCAGTGATATTTATTAATTAAGAAATTTTAAGAAATGTTTTAGTATTATTCATCCATCCATCATTTATCAATGTTTTATTCTTCATAATATGAATATTTACATACGTGAAAAACTACGTCAGAACATAGAATTGATTAGTTCAATATCTATAAATACTGTCAATGAACTGTAAATAGTTTTTATGTTTAAATTGTGTATTTATAAACTTTATAACAGGATATTCTGATATAGAGATTATAAACAGCATCGTTGGTTTTATAAGTTATACACTGTATATATGTTTAGTGGAATAACTGGGGATGGGCCAAAGGGATCCGGGCCCCTAACATTCATCCACAGTGTAACTGGTACAAGAGTGAATATAAGTTTGTATATTCTATTTAGATCTCCCCTTAATTCATTATCTGCTCCAAAAACTATTCCAATTTCTAGGAATACACAAGTACTGTACATATATGTACTTGTGTACAGCATAGGCCTATAGTAATACAGTGTGGGAAAGAAAGTCACTTAACACCCCTGCTACAGGATATAAAATGTACCCAAAGTTAATTCGCTCGTCAGAAACACTAGACTAAGGGGAAACAGATTGATGTATATTACACGCACGGCCGCCATCTTGATGGAGGCCATATTGTATACAATTCCGTAATTGTAAATGGAAAAGGATGTGACACTTCATTTAGAATCAGAATTTCACAAGGAATTGATTGCTGAAAGATTTTATTCACCTACCTCAAACGGTTACAGAGTTATGCACGTTACATGATGTGCTGAATGTATTGTACAGTACATTCTTCGGATACATTCTATATTCTGTAGCATGGATGTTAAGTGACTTTCTTTCTCACGCTGTATAAGTAAGCCTATCAAAAACAAGAAATTACATTAGGTACTGTCACAGGAAAAAAATTATATCCATGTTAATTTCTTATGCTTTTTGAAGGTTATTTTGGAAGTTTAACTCCATGTGTTTGGAAGTTTAACTCCAAGTTTAACTTTAAAAAGTGACATTACTGCTTACGAAGAAAATTATTTTCTTATTGAAATCGAAAGTTGATTAGATAAACGTTTATTAAATAACAAAATAAATTTATTATTATTTAATGAATTTATCTAGCATAGTTATATCGAAGAGTTACAGAATTTCTATACACAACAGTGTAAAGTTTTTAATGGAAATATCATATCCATTATTATAAAATACGGTTATTTCTATTATTTATTCCGAAATTGCATTTATGTTTATTTTGTATAAATATTTTTATCAATTTAAATAATCTTTAAACAAGAAATATTTTCATTATTTTATTAAAATTCGTTAATATTCAGTTTAATTTGGCATTTTCCGTTATAATAAATTAGCAATTTGATGGCCGAATTTATTATTCTAAACAATCTTCTATTTTTGTTCTAACTAAATGTTATTTTCATGCATTTTCAGCCCATTTAAGAACTATTTGAGATTTATTGCCGAGCTGATGATCTTGGTATACTCAAATTATAATTTCCTTGAAGTTAAATATTGTATTAAATTTTGTTAATGTTGTTTAAAATCATTCTGAAATACAACATATACAGATGCTATTTTAGTTAGAATATTTAAAAAGTGACAATGTTGGCAAGATCAAACAATTATTTTAGTTAGAGAAATATGATATTCTTCAAATTTGGCCTTCTGGTGATTAAGTATGCGGATTACAATTGAAAAAAGAGAAGAAATTCACTTTAGATTGGAGAATTTTTGGTTTTAAACGATCGTTTTTTAACATTATATGTAGATGGAGCCATATTTAATGAAAAATGGAGATTCATACACCGGTTTTTGTAAAGATTTAATAGACATTTTATCAGCGAAACTTAATTTTGATTATCGACTAAAAATCGTAGATGATGGACAATTTGGAAGTTATAATCATTCTAACAAAAAATGGACGGGAATGATCGGTGAAATAGTTTCAGAAGTCAGTGATTTTTGGTTACAATTAATGAAAATATTTCCTATTTCATGAATTTATTTATTTATTTATTGTAGAAAGCGGATTTAGCAGTGGCTCCTTTAATAGCAACTTCAGAAAGAAGTAAGGTTGTATCTTTCACCACGCCATTTCAATATGGAGGAATTACTTTATTAGCTAAAAAAGTTTATTCCTCGCCGTCTTTTCTCTTGTTTCGTCCATTCAGTTGGGAAGTATGGATATTCGTTCTAATTGTTTATGTCATTTTTGGTACATTTTTACTATCAGTCAATTATTATACTTCGGAGTCGTTCGAAAAATCCCAATTGATGCATCGTGAGAAATATTACAACTCCATGACTCAAAAATTTTTGTGCGCCAAGTATTTATTTATTTTTTTATTAATAAATTTGTAACTGTTTTATTTCACTTAATAAATTAACATATAAATATTTATATGTCAGATCCTGGATAAAATCTATTGGTAAATTGATATGCTTCGTCTTTACCATTGCTCTGTTATCATTATACATTGCAAAACTCAGCTCCATCATAACCAGTGAAGAAAACTCTTATGATTCTAGGGAATTACTCCCTACAAAAGAAATGTTCCAGGTAAAAATTTCTTTTTTTTTCTCTTCTTTAATATAATTTTCATATGTTTTACACAATTTTCGTTATCAGTATTCGGTAACAACAGGATTTCCAAAAATGCTTATGTTGCGAGGAAGTACTACCATGAAGTATTTTCAGGTGAGATTCCAGTGCTCTAAATGAGTTTATAATTATTAAAATTAATGTAATTTGTTTATTATAAACTAGAAAAGTGGATCGTTACTCTACTCTCAGTATTGGAAACAAATTCAAGAAAATTCAGATTTATTTGTCAGCTCCTATTCTGAAGCTTTAGAACGTCTTATATTATCTGATGGAGATACTGTGTTCTTATTAGAATCCCCTATTGCAGAGTATATATCTAATGTAAATTGCAACAGTTTCACTACTTTGACAGGAACCTTAAATACTCAAACATATAGTATCGCTATGGGATCCACATTTTCTTTAAGGTATAAAAGTTTTTCGATTTCTTAAAATTTGATCCAAATATAAAATATTGAAATTATGAATTATATATATATATATTTTTCTTATTTCTCGCAGACTTAATCTCAGTAACCAAATTATGCTTCTTCAGGAGAATGGAATATTAAATAAACTCTATGATAAGTGGTGGAACAACTATTCAGATTGCGATGAATCAAACGTGCAGAGAATAACATATAAGGTAGTATTTTTTTATGGGTATTATATATTTTATGTTTTAATATTTAAGATATTGTAAATTAAATATTTTATTTGCTAATTTTTCATATAAATACTTTAAAATTATGAATAAATTCGCATATAATAGGAAATGATCTCAAATCCTTCCAGTTGCAAAGCATTTATGAGCATTTCTTCCTTCATACTAGAATTTTTTAAAAGTGTTTGATAAAATATATATGTAATTAAATTTAAGTGTTTTGAAGATAAAATTTACGAGTTTCATTAAAAATTAGATTAATTAATTTAAGCTTAGGAATAGATCGTACGCCATTTTTTCCCAACTATCAATAGAACAAAGATCAAATTGGAAAAAAATCGTGGCTGTAAAAAGGAAAAAATGTATTTTTGTTTTTCTAGCTAAGTCGTGATTTACTTTTTTTTACATAGATATGATTTATGAGTTATATTTTATAATTTGATACTTGTTTATTGTTTAGTATATTTGTCATGATTTACATTGCAGTTTCTGTTATCGGTATCATATTTAAAAGTCGACTAGTGGCTGATACCCCTTTATAAAAAAAAATTGAAGTTTCTATGTAATTAAGAGAGAAAATTAGAGATGTTTATACAATAAATTTAAATGGTTTTGAGGATTTTTCTGTAGTATTTTCAGCGCGTACGAAACAACACTTCAAATGTACTAGACATAAATAATTAAGCAGTAATTACAGGAATTGAATCTTATAATTTTTTATGAATTAATAAAATTTTATATTAAGTTAGTTCTCATGATAAAATTATCATTATATCAATTACTCATTATTTTATAGATGAACGGGGGATCGTTACGATTTCGTGACATTTGTGGATTGTTTTACTTAATGATTTTCAGTTCTGTTATAATTGTCGTCTTAAGTGTCAGTCAATTTCTTTGCCGGAAGTACCGAAACTACAGCCAAGAAATTCCCGTAAGTATTTAACCATACATATGTTCACGAATATACATTTCTTGTAAAATTATTCTGTCTGTGAAGAATAAAATAGCTACAGTATAAACACGAGATATGAATAAATGTTGAAGTTGATCAACCAAACATTTTTAGTAAAAGTCGAACTGATGCAAAAAGATACAGTAAAACTTGCAAAAGGCGGAACTTGAGTAAGGAGGAAACCTTCAGAAGCGGAAAATTCAAATATTTTCTAATAAACGATTCCGTAACGTAACAAATGTTCTCTAAAAGCCGGAACCTGTTAGACGCGGACGGAATGGAAAAAGTCTTGCGATTACGACTCTAATACGGGAAGTAAGTCATAGATTCAAAAGCCTGAAATTCCATATGGACGTAAGAAAATTATTTTTTTGTTAGAGGGAGTGACCCAAAATTTCTCCAGAACATGAATTTTATATAGAAAATTTCTTCAAAAATTCTTCCACTTAAGCGGACAGAATAGAAAATTTTATGGACGAATTAAGGTCAAATTGCACTTAGGTAGTCCCTATGGCGACCGGCGCAGCTACTTACTACACCAGCATTTAAAGAAGAAGAAAAAAAAGTATTTCACTCACCGTTGACATATTTGTAATTCCTGTTCTCCGATTTATTCAGTAAAAAAAACATGGCTCGTATGATTCTTTCGTAATTTCATCTTTTTCCATCGTAGAAGCTTTTCCCGTTTTCTTAACACAAGTTTACATTCTTCCTCTTACGATTTTCGGATTTATTGGTGTTACTTTCAGGGCTGAAGATACAATTTCTGAACTCTTTCCAAACTAAAGCACGTCTCACTCCTGAATAAAACTTACTCGTATGTTGAAAAGGTCGAACCGTTCTCCTAGTTTTTTCCTTTTGCTCACAACAATCTAGCCGATTTCCAGTTCCATCCACGGTAAAAATTAGACAATAAAACAATCATAATGTGTAGTATGAAGTTCGCTCAGTCAACAGCTTTTCGACTATTCACGCCCACAACAAACAGATGACGCTCAACGTACTGTACTGTACATTATATGCAAATTAGATGCCAAATAAACGAAAAAGTAGTTCCTCAAGAAATTTTCCCAAATTTACTTTTAAAAATTATTCCAAATGACGAACTGTTCATCTTGCATTTATGACATCTAAAAGAAACAGAATCAAGATCCTTTCGATAATTTAATTTACGACGGCCATTACATTTCGAACGATCTGTATCTGCAGGTTGCATACCAAACTTTATGGCAAACATACCAACTGATGAAGTTCTCTTGTTAAAATTAAATTCGGGATATTCCGACATTAAAAAACGAAAAAAAAATCCCTTGAAGTACACTTTTGACAAGGAAATTATTGTTGTTTTCCAAACTCTTCCAGTACAACAATAAACGACAAAATATCGGCTCAATTCAAACAACGAATGATACTTTTTGAACCTGAATAATTAAATTACTCTTAACATAGTTATAAAACGTTAGGAAATTAATCTATAATTGAAATGACGTTAGAAATCTTGTAAAGCCTACCTAAATTAACTTTCAAAAGCGCACATGCTGTCGAGATTCCGGAAGTGCCGCCATAGGAGCTACCTAGATGCACTTCTATCCGAATTAATAATCATTATTACTATACGTTTGAAATATTCTAATTGAATTATACAAATAATTATTATCCAGGTAACACTAAAATGACAAATTAATGTAAAATTAGCCCTCTGTGGCATTGGTGAATTTTCTCAATTAATGTCTAAAGTTATTTATTAAATAAGTAAACTTCATATAGAACGTATTTGAATATTATAAAATCTGTTTCTGTATATGTTCTCCTTTAATATTTTAATGTCTATAGGCATAACCTAGGTGCTGCTCTATTTTATTCTGTTTCTACTTTATTGTAACGTTTTTGAGGCTATTTCTTTGATATTTTTTCTACCGTAAATCCCCCGGGGTTGTAAGGGGTGCAAGGGCAACAAACGTAATTTGAATAATCACGCGTAAATCATAAAAATATTTATTTTTTCACCCAATCTTATAAAAGAGGAAAGAAACGTTTTCAGGGCATGTGTATGGGCAATAGAGAGCAATAAAATAGTGTAGATATGTCCTGTCAGTGACGGAAAACCCGTGAGAAATGGGAAAACAAGATAGTTCCATCAAGTTCCGGCTTTTGCAAGTTTTCCTATATATTTATGTAGAATGCTGTTATTATTGAGGGATTACACCCATACAGTGATGTTCATAAGGCACCAGTCTTATGTCTAGTATTTACGTTCCCGATTTCAACTTATATTCTATGAATCTAGCTCTAACTTCTATAAATCCCTATCCATATACTAATTTGGATATGTATTTATGAGTGAAGGAATTTTTATACGAGGAATGTATATTTTTAAATTGAATATTTAATTCTATTCATTTTATTTATTTATTTTTTTCAAGAAGAAAAGAAATCTGTTATCCTCACATGAAGAAACGAAAAACAGTTCAAAACGTGTGACAAAGAACAGATTTTGAATAAAAAAATATTTTATATTGTAACATTCTGTTATTCTTAACAACGGATACAGATTATATTGATTCTATTTATGAATCAAAAGAGTTATTAAAATATTCTTATAAATAGTTTATAATTTTAAAATTATATATATTATTAAATTGTATTATTCACCGATGTACTGTTATAACGTTGTACTTTCATATTAATTTGTATATATATATATTTTTTCTTTTATGCACAAATTATGGTTATATATGTCAATAAAGATTTAATTTTATACTTTTAATATGGTCTGGAAACATTATCAATACTGTAGTTTATATAAAATTATTTTTGGGGATGCAATTTTAAACCTATAAATTACCATTGTCGCCCGTCTGTCTTTCCTTAATCTCGAGAATGGAGTTAGATAAATGAAGTCTGAAAACAGATATGGAAACTTTAGTGATAGGAGCCCCCAATTAACTATAAATGAATTACCGATGCAAACCGGAAATCACGTTATTTCAATTCAAAAATTTTCCCCTGAAAGATGTTAGATAGACGACCGGTACGACTGTGTTGTTAAATGAAAAGTATGATGTACAGGGGAAAATTACTACTAATTTGAGGTAGAGAGCATATATTTTAAATTAAATAGATTAAAAATTGCTCATATAATTGTATTCGACTTTGTGCGTATTGTTAAATATTTTGGGATTAAACTTTTCCCATTCAAGTTTATTGATCATAAAGTATTATTTTCTCAGTTCAATGTTAACCTGTTAATTATAATAGTAAGCAATTTAGTAACACTTTCTTGCTACCATTTTTAGATAAATAATACAATAAATTTACTTTTTGTTAGGTTATTCTTCGCTACAAAAATGTTATTTATAGCTATAATTTACACAATAGAATTTACACTTGCTACATTTTAATAACACATAGTTTTAAAACAAAATTTTACAGAGTAAACATTTAGTTTTATTGAATAGGGGAAATAGCAGCAGACATTCATTTAAAAGCTTTTAAAGCGTACAGCTGTACGGAATTAAATTCTAATGATCAATTTCCATTAAAATAATGATATAAGTAACTATAGCACTTCCTAGAGTGAGTAATACATCACGTGATAGCGTAAAAAATCTTCCGGCCGTTAGCGAAACTGGATAACTAATCTGACGGAACAAAATGATCTGCAATTCATTAAATATGGCGTCGGGTATAGGCATAGCTTTATGAATGGATAAAGTGGAAGGTACTGCTTCTGCAGCCGTTTCCATAACAGTAAATCCGGAATAACAAATAGTAAATATAACAGAGATAGAGAAACACAAATCGGTAAATAAGTTAAATAAACCAGTTTTTCCCGAATACATTTCTTCTCCTATAACGATACCATTAACTTGTACACTGATACTGACTAGCACTTGACTAAAACACACGAATACAACAGGCGAGAAAAGGCTATCTATTTCTATAACTAAATCGCATAACATTGAGTGATGTAAAGCTAAATCTCTATAATTTTTGACGGGACATAAAATATTTTCCATAGAGCAATGTTTTAACCGACAATTCAGTTCCGAGAAACCCAATTTTAGCTGATCCGATATAAAATAATAGAGTAAAGTTATCTGACAGATGACCCCCTGAAGGTGAAAGGTATAACTGATACTTCTTATCAGTCTCATAACCATTATGGCGTAGCCAGATTCTTCTCTTAAAAAGTACAATAAGAATTCGCTATAATCGTTATCCATAAACATGGCAAAGTTATAAGAAGCGTATAAAACCAATGCCAGTACTGTAAATAGGATGAGTAAACATCGCTTCCAGCAAGAGTTATCCGAATTCGACACTTGACTTAATTTTTCCAGAGCATTTTGTATCCGTTTCCTTCGAAGAAACAGATAAATAATAATGAACAAAACGCAGATGTCTAAAGTTAACACACTGACAACGATCCATCGATTTTCCTTAGTTCCCCATAGAAGAAAGAACGTGTAAGCTAAGTAACAAGCAAGTGACAGGATTAACATAGAAGAGGTGGTAAAGGAAACAATACATTTTACCTTATTTGTTACTCGATAAAAGAGTACTGAAGTCCCAACTATAATAGTCCAATAAAAGAACAACTTGGATGAAAGAAGAACCATGACTAAGACTTCTGAGCTCTATAAAGTTGAAGTGCAAATATGCGTGACCTAACCGAACAATATTTGATGATAATGTTTATAAAGCTTATTGCTTTCGTGGTAAAGTATTTTTCTGAAGAACTGAATAAATATAATTAAATAATAGCAATATAAACTAATTGTATTTTTATTAAATAATTAAGATAGAAAGACATTTAATCATTATACTTTTATTGCCCATTTTTGTATGAGAAGGAAGAAAAATTTATATATTTTTAAATATAAATATTATAATTATAATCTTAACGCATATTTCTAATGATGCATGTATATGTACCGATTGTTAAAACTTGTAAATTAATACATAGAAACACTCAAAATGATATTTTTAGAGAATGCAATTAACAATGATTCCTTGTTCTTGTAGCTGACATGTTTGCATGTCATTGACAGAAAATAATTCAAGTGCCAATTTTAAATTATTTTATTTATTTTCAAATGTATTTGATTCAAATACCGTATCAATTAACATTTCTTTAAATATAAAAAAAACCTCTTTATTTATGCAATTTTAATTAGAAAATAATTTTAAAATGTTATAAAAATTTGGGAACTAAAATTAAGTTCTTTAAAGTAACCCATCTTAAGAAAAAAAAATGAATGTTAAATGTTATCACAAGGAAAATAGAATCTTCCTCTCTATTTTTGTAGATACCCCAATTAATAGAGAGTAAATATAAAATAATTATATAGGCATATTAATAATTTAAATTTGATAAAAATGTATCGACAGAATTAAATAACTTCGCCCTTGAAACGTGTAAATATTACATATCGGCTTTTCTCCTTGTAATTAATATACCCATAGCGCTTCAACGATCTATTTAGAGGTCACCNTGTATATTTTATTTGTTATCTAAATTAGTAGGTATCAATACAAATTATACGTGTATATAAATGCATTTATATAAACGTTGTAGTCTATTATACAGAATGGGTTACAAACCAGTTAACTATTATAAAGACTAAAATGCTGCCTTATTCAAATACTTAATCAGATTTTTATTATGTTTCCACTGTTTTGTAAACACGTTTTCCTAAAATTCATATTCACAAATGTACATATAATAATAGACACACACAAAAAAAAAAATACAATCACTCGCGAAAATCAAACATTTTAGGCTCTACTTATTTACATTCTATGAAATTTTTCATGAAAAAAACACAAGAAATTTCGTTGTAGAATTTATAAAATAAAATGTTTAAAGAGTCATCTTCGAAATTATAATTCTTCAAAATAATTAAATTTGGTTGTTGCCATTTTAAAATTTACTACTTTTCTCGTGCTCATCCTAAAACTCGAAACATAAAAATTAATAAAATAAATGATTACCGAGTTGTATTTTATCTTTCTTTATTTCAAAAAAGGAAGTTACCTCGCTTCTTGGTAATGTTATTTTTCTTCTAAATATGAATTCTACCATTGCTATGATTAGCGTTATAACTATACCACCGATTAAGATATAAAACAAGCCAGAAATTTCGTGAAGAGTTAAGGACGAATGATATAAATCCTATATAAAAAAACACTTAATTAAATTAAAAATAAAAAAAAATTAAACAATATATATGCGATACTTTACATAGTTCTTAAATTACAAAAATTTCAAACATGCGATCAAGTTTGATAGCTTTTTATTTTTATTTTTAATTTAATCCTTTGATGAAATTAAATATAATAATTTATTTAAAATATCCGTGAATACTTACTGATAATTTTCGATATTTTTTCGTATCTTTACACTTTCCTTCGCGCCACCATTTTGCGTAAATCATATTTAAATATCCCTTTTCTTTGAGAGAGAGTAAGGCGTAATCTAGCTCTTCTCTGTAATTAATAAATTAAAAGTTTAGAAAATGGCTTCTAGTTCTAGAAAATGATCTAGAAAGTTTTCTAGATAAAAAAGTTAATTCCGAAATTAAACGTTCTGTGATAAATAAAACGATTTATGAATTAATTTAACGTCGCGTATCTTTAGATGATCTCATGGATTACGTGAATTATTTTAAATAATTGGATAGATTTTTAAATTTTAAGAATTAATTAACTGTTTAAATTAATTAATATAGGAAATTAATATAAGGATCTCGTGGATTAGTGAATTAACGAATAAATAGTCAGATAAATTATTGGTGAAGTAGTCTTTTGTTTTTAAAATGTTCTTGCGTTAATTTATACTCGATCATGAATTGGATGAATTTTTAAAATTAATAACTAAAATGTCTGTTGAATCGAGATTTCATAAATTTAGTAGGTTATTTTAAAGATTAATAAACGAAATTCATAAATTCATAAATGATTTCTAGTATAAATGCACTTTTATATGTTAGTTAATAGCTTAATGAATTCGCAAGTCATTATAAAAGTTTAATATTTGACTTACGAATTGAGTAGTTAACTGTTATTCAAATTTGCCCAGGCTCCATGAAGCTATAAAGCTTCATAGGACCTGGGCGAATTTGAATTAGGGAGCCCCCACGTACTATATTGATTTCGGATGTTTTCCTTCGGGGGATTTTTTGGGGGAAATATTTTCTTATAAATGATTAATTAGAGGCTCTTGTTGGTGGGGGCCCCCAGGCAATTGTCCGTAGGATAACGCGCCACCGAAGAAATCTTACTTTAAAGGAGAACCTTTCTTGGTAGCTATTCCGTATCCACTCGAATCTAGGAATCCGGACGTCATGATAGTGTCACAGGGTTCTTGAAAATTAATATACTCGTTCATGGACGATTCTAATAGAAGACCGACGTTACCTTGGCCTTTTCGCACCTTTTCAACACCTTCGTTGTAACCATTTATTAATAACTCGGGCTCTTCCTTCACTTTTTGCCAATAAGAATTATATGTTTTAATGGCGGAATTCTGGCAATAAGAAATGTTTTAATTAATTTTTAAGTACATAAACGAATAAAAAATCGATTTAATAGTACTTAAAATTACCTTAAAAAATTCCAGAGTAGAACTGTTTTTCAAAACGAGTAATTTTGGTGATCCTGTCCTTATTGCTTCCTATAAAAACGGACACTCAATTCATAACAAATTATTAACTGTACAATATTAAAAAATTAAATAAATTTACTTGTAAAATGTATTCAGTGGAAGGATACGATGAATAACTAAAAGAATAAGCTTGACTTGTTTTATCTTTAATTAAAATAGTGGCTAAATTTGCTATATAGAGCACTACCAATATCAGAGTGAAAAACCACCAAAAAATACTAGCCAAGCGGCTAGAAGGAGATCTGAAAAACAATATCATTTATATATATATATGAATCTTTAAATTTATAATAGTTAAAAAGTTATAAATTAACTATTATGATATTTAATAATATATAATAGTTATAAAATGGCATATAATCATGGATATCCACTAAATTTAGTGGGAAATTTAGTTAGAGGTACAGTATTTTTGGTGGAAATCTTATAACACAATACTGTATAAGTATTGTGTTACAAGGTACTATACTTTTTTAAGATGCCGGGTCTAACAATCTTTTAATATCAGACCCAAGTCAAGTCAAAAGTTATGACACATTAAAAACTAAATATCACTCTTAACCAAAAAGAAAAAGAAAAAAAAAAAACATTCTGTATTACTTACTTTGGATAAATTCCAGAACTTCTAAATAAACTTGAACTACAAACAAACCAGAAATTCGCACATAAACCCAATCTGTCTTGCAATCCGCTATCAGCGTTTTTTACTCTGTCGGGTGGTGAAGTAAATTTAGATAAAGAAAACAGGAGCATGCTGAAAACCAGATGGGAAACAATGATACAAATCCAAACTTCAATAGAAAAAGCTTGAAGAAAGAAAAATGGTCCTATTTCTGCACTTATTTCGGGTTTCTTCATCATCAAACTTATACCGACAGTTTGAAAAGGTTTAGTAAAATCTATAACGGATTCTCGTTCCGCTGTAATTGTTAGTGGAGCAATCGACAAGTCAGCAGTCTAGAAGATCATTTTGTTCTTTGTTACAAGTGATTACTAATTTTAAATACAAGTCAATACATTAAACTTACTCCTTTCACAAGTTCTCCTATCAATCCGGTCCAGGTTCCAGTTGTGGCATTATATTTTCCAGCTTCAGAATCGGGTAAAAGGTGTAAATCATAATCAAAATTCATTTCTTCTGATAGATAATCCGCTAAATCTTTAACAAAACCTTCTACTTGATCCTTTTGCAAGCTTTCTCGTTTCGTTCGTATTTTCGTCAACAAATATGGCGGAGACTATACGTGCAACAAAGTTACTTTTTGATTGGTTTATAAGCCTATGTATATATTTAAAAACTTCAAACTTGCCAATCACTTACCAATAAACTAACTATAACATATTTTTTCTTGTTAGATATTCTGCTATCTTTATCAGGTAAGGGTCTGTATGGGCTTTTCACCAGCATCAATCCTGACATATCTGACCAATTTCCAGCCTATAAACGATACTAAACTTATATTTTTCAATAGAAATATTAAAATTTTATTAAGTTTATAAGTTATATTGTTACTTTAACATAATCGTTTGGAGTTGTCTCGATAATATCGAGTGTAACTTGTTTTCTTTGCCCATTGGGATCGAACTTCAAACTACCCGTGAGGCCAGCAGGTACGTAAGTCTATAAAAATATATTAAAATAGTCAATTATAATTATAAAAATGCGAAAAATATTTGGCATAAAAAATACTTGTTTCAGATATTGTGCCACTATCGGTCCATGTTCCCATGTTTTAATCGGAGTTTGCAAGCAATCCGTTCCTTTGGTACCATTTCCGACTTTATTATTCGATTTCAAAATGTGCTGTTGGCTATCGTAAATTCTTGTAAGAGTCCCTAGCAATAATTCTGCACCATCATAAGTTAACATGGCTTCTACCTGTCAGTAAACCGAATTTCAATAAGAGGAATTTCTGCAAAATGTTTGAAAATCTTAAATAATCGAGAAACCATTAAAAAAAGTAACAAACAGCATTTGTAAGTATGGATATTTATAATAAAAAGTGTCAAGTTAATTTTACTCACAGGGATGTTTCTATTTCCGGCTCCAAGCCAAAGACGTGGGTTCAAAGACCTCCAACTTGTTAGAAACTGCCTTACCAATCCTCTATCAGGATCGAGTAAACGAAAACCAGTGATGTTAACTCTTCCAAATTCTGTGAGTTGACTATTCCAAAATCCTTCTGGTACCTTGAGGAAGATTTATTACAAGTCAGCAATAAAATATATATCAAATCCGAAAGCGTAATGCCACTAATAAGTATAATAATTTTAAGAAATCTACTTCTTGAGCAATTTATTTTTTTAATCGTGAACAACATAAATAATCATTACTACAGATCAAGACGTTAGATAATTACTTTTATAATTAGAAACATGTTGGAAATTATAACTCACGGGTTCTATTAAAAGAAAGTGGTATACATTTCTTTCCCAAGGTAATGTTCTAACATGTGTAATAATAATCTCTCTAGCTAATCTAGAGTCAACATCCATTACAATATTCTTCAGTTTATCTGGGAAATTTCTATCAAGTTTACGAAGAAACAAATGCGCTTCGTCTGCACTAGTGATCCTTCTAAGTCCCATTATGTCCAATTTCCGATCGCTTCCTCCAAGTTCGAAGATTCGTTGAAGTTTCTCGGCTCCTGGAAATAATTTTTATCTTCGAATTATAATTAAATCGCTCCGTAACTGAAAAAATCCATATAATTACCATCGTCCGATTGATATAAATAAATTATAGATGACCATCTGTAATAGGTGATGAGATCGTTGACGGCTCGCAAAGTGTTTGGCTTAATTCCTACAGCAAATAATGGAGTGTGTTCGGGAACGACTTCGGGAAAAGATGGACTGATCAAAGGTATTTGAAAATTATTCGAGTAAGATACAAGAATGGAATACGTCTGAGGGGTGGTGGGTGCCACCAAAGCATAAATTCCCTGTTTCATCAATCTGCAAACTGAAAAATAAAGAAAGAATTTTACATTTAAATATAATAAAATTTGATAAAGCGGATCTACACTTAAATTTACAGGAAGCGTTATTATTTTTTGGGCCATCTGGCTTTAGTAGTAACAGAATATACAGTTCGGCGTTTACAACGATATGTCCGCATCGAACGTAAATTGAGTGGTTGTAAAAAAACATAAGCAACAACATTCGGTTTATATACACTATAAATATAATTTAAAGAAGAAATTAGAGACTTCTTAGTCAAAAAGTTTGCTCTCGGATTTCAAAAGTACAGAAGCGATGACACCTGACATTGATAACATACACATTTGTCTATTAACATATTCATATATATAACGGGACTGAAAATCAAAGGTCAAAGCACACCACTTGTTAAGAAACCTTCTTATTTTACTAAGTAAATATCATAAGAAAACAGGAAGAAGAGGAAGAAAATGTGCAAGGAAGATGAATTTACTAAATTTTTATTCATTTACAGCCGAATATTGTCACGTGAAAGAGAGGAAGTCGAGGCATTAATTCGTCACTCATAAACAAGACAGGAAAAAAGTTCTTGGGAGAAAAACAAAAGTGCCATAAGTAAGTTAAGGCCGGGTTGTTAAACTATCTAAAGTGGCAAGCAGAGGGAAAAAAAGGACTTGTTTAATATATTGAAACGAACTATGACCTTACGGTTGTTAGATACACGCGGAGATCATACAATGATAGAAAAGGACAAAAATGGCAGATGAAGGATACTGTTGCTGTTTAATACATCGTTACGCATCTTAATAACATTTTTAACTCTCAAATTTATACTGTTATTATATTATACTTATTAATTACAATACAGTTAAACCTCTAAACAACGGCCATTGAAGAGAACATGAAAAATGACCGCCGTTTAGAGGTGGCTGTTATTGGAGGTTCGACTATAATTCGAAATCTTAGACGGATGTAATGTTTACGTACGTATAAAAGCTTAAACATTACTGTTTGCAAACTAAACTGTTTTAGAAAAATAAGATGAAAGCAATCTGACAAAGGAGAAAGGCTGGAGGGGAAGTTTTATTTCTTATGGATTCATCGAAAATTTCTTTGACATTTCATTAACATCACTTGATGTACGTTGATAATGCACTTTTTCCCCTCAGTGTTCTGGAGTGAAGTCTCTAACTTATTAAATTAAGTTGTTAGAAAATCAATTTTCCAGACATGAATTATTTTATAAATAAAACTTTAAACTAAAATTATTTATTTAAATTTTTAGCTTAGTTTTACGCATAAATATGTATTATAAATATACAATTTCACACCTACTTAAACACATTAAAAAAAAAAAACTCAAAAGTTGCCTTATGTAAACAAAGAAATTTTTATTCAAAAGTTCTGTTTATTTTTCTAGATAAAATATTTTAGGCAAAAAAGAAAAGAAAATCAAGCATAAACAACGTATTAAAATATAAAAATTTAAATATTTTCCATTTATTATCGCATCATTTCCTTTATCGATTATCGAAATTCTAAACTATTTTACAAAATTAATAATTCCTGATATTATATTCTCGTTTGTAAAGGCTAGACTTAAATTGATCTAAATATTCAAATTTAATTTTAATGATTTATATCGGCTTAAAGAATTTTTACGATCGTTTCGATCGATGCTTAAAATAGGATAATGGAATCAGTGTACGATCGGCGATATTCTACCAACCTGATATTTCTACATTATCAGGCTAACAATTCATATTAAATTATCATTATAATATAGAATTATCAGATTAACTGATATAGTTTCAGGTAGAATTGAATTAAATTATATGTCTACGTATGCGGTATAAAGTTTCATATATAAATTAATAATATTATTATTATATATTTTAAAAAGTTTTAAAGGAAATGAACTTGAAATTAATAAACATTTTATAAATACGGAAGCGACACGTAAGATTTATAAACATAGCTAATTTATCCAATTTATTCAGATTAACTGTTAAATTCTGTGTATAGAAAATGTACGTGATTTAATAATTTTGTATTTATTAATACAAAATAGTGAATAAAACAGGCCATTTTGTTGCCACAAGTAATCTTATGCACCATACAAATTTATTGCAATTGACAGTTTGTCTTATCTGAAAGTTATTCCATAAATAGTAATCGATGGTATTTGGTACCATTAAGAATCTTTCGATAGCAATCGACAATATTTCATGTCAAGAAGTTTTTTTTTTTTTACATGATAACCGCATTTGGCCATTAAAAGAGAGTAAAAAATGAACAAACTAAGATGATTTTACATTCATCTTAAATATTCTTCGACATATCAGAGTATCTCCGTACCAACCGAACTTCCATTTTACATAAGCCATTCTATTGAATCTTTAACAATTAAGTTACTGTAGAAATTTTTAATAATGTCTAATTTAAATTATTAGTTACAAGACGAGAAAAAAAGCCGATTATATATTACACAATTGACAAAGGCTTCGTATGTGAATATATCAATTAAACGTAGACAAAGCACAAACGTTAAATTCTTAGAATACAAAAGCTACAGTTGACAAAAATTAAATTGGATTCTTTACAATTATAACAAATATAAGAAGTTATTAATGATCACTTCATAATAAACATTTTAAATTTCATACTTGTAAATTTGTTCTACATCATTTTTCATACTTAAACATTAATAAAGAGAAAGAAAATATGGCAAAGATAATCTTAAATCGAACTCTATCTTCCCGTTATAAACAAGTAAAATGATGAAGATGACACCAAGTGTAGCGAAGATCCGGATAACAGTCGTTATATTTAACAACACAAGACATTACTATAAAAAATTCTAATAGATTTTCCTAATATTTTACTAGTTGTATAACATAATTTCTTTTTTAGATTATTATTACTTTTATAACGTTAAATATAAGAATTTTAATTAATTTAACCCCTCGCATTCTTTCCACTATTTCACAACATTGAAATAAAATTCTGTTTATAATAATCTATTAAGTGAGGTATCTTATCTGTTATATTTTCAACGCGTCGAGAGTAAATATCCACTCGAATTTTCGAGTATCTGTAAGCTGAATGAGAACAAACAGAAGGTTTTCAGTTGCTTAATTTCACAGAATTCAAGAAATGAAACTTTAGAGATTTATTTTATTATTATTATTTTAACTGTGAATAGTCGAGTTGCAGTTCATTATATGAAATTTTTATTACTTCCAAAAAGAAAAAGAAGAAGAAGAAGAAGAAGAAAAAAGAAGTTTATCGTAGTGGAACAGAACCATTAAGTCACAGTTTATCCCTCTCCAAATCCATTCTTAGAATCCTCCTGACACTACTGTTCTTGTAACTCGATATGATAGTTTATGTGTGGATTGCACCCAAGCAGCCTTCATAAGAATAACAGAGTTAATCTTTACTCCACTTCCGATTATTTCGAAATAACTTTCACTTATATACACTTCTTAAGCGGGAGAAGAAGTGCACTTTTTTTAATCTCATCATTTTAATACTTTTACAATAAAATTCTCAATAAAAACTGCAAAAATGTAATTGTATCTAACGCTACATAAGATAAAAATTAAATCTAAAAATCGAATATGTTTTGAAGAGGTAAAAAATAAGTATTTAAATCCAACATAAAATAATTATTTAAGCTTTTTTTTTGTAAATTAAAACGATTATTTTAGTTTCCAAACAGAATTCTGACAGATACTTAACGAAAGATAATCAAGACAACACGCGAAATTACAATTATAAATATATTCTAATTATAAAAATTCCACTTAAAATATTAAAAAATTAGTTCAGAATTGAAATTAAGTATCATTTATCAGGTAAGAGCGTATTGAAAGTGGCCACGAACTTTATGCAACAACAAAGCCTTGTTAACGACAGAATGGCAAAGAGCAATGTTCGAAGCAGGAGTTGCACTCGCTACTCAATTGACAAAGATTTTCTATAATAAATTTATTGTTACTTTTTTTTTTGGTACGTTGCTGACCTGCTCGACTTATCTGATAAGTATCCACCCATTCCAGACGTTCTTCTACTACTTCTGCAACAAACGTACTACTGGTATTTTGGTGCGACCAAAATGCATACTTCAAAGCGCTGATTGCAGCATCGTCCGAACGACTAAACACAGCACCTATAATAATAAAAAAAAAAAAAAAAAATACATAAATTTGTTAAAGAAGATAGGCTGATTCTCGAGAGGAATAAATAAAATGCTATAATTTTGCAACGTAACAAATTGCATTTTAATATAAGTTGACATCCCCGAAATTCCTTTTCTATTAATAAATATTCTATTTTTACTTTTTATCCCCAGTTTTTCTTAAATATCAGCGATTCTTTCATGATAAAATCGTCACTAAATACCGTTTTGTCACAATCTGGATCATCATTCTTAACTTTTAAAATCGAACAAATAAATAAATAAATAAAGTAGGAATTTTTAAGCTTTTACATAAACTTAATTATAATTATAATAAATCATTTAAGAGGTGCATAAAATCCAATTTTTGAGAAAAACTTTTAAACGAAAAGGAAAGAAAAATTCATTTTTTAAAGGGAAAAATGCCACTTTTGATAAATAACATTTGTTACGGATCTTTTTCTTGAATTTTTGATCAAATTAAAGTAGAAAAGATCGTAAACAAATACATTAAAATAATTAACTTTTCTATACAAATTTCATCAATTTTATACGGTTTTTATTATCTAATACGAAGAGATAAAGAAAATATAAAATTTGCAATATAAAGTTGATAAAGTATAAATTATTACGTGTATAAAATAAACGTTTACACAGGATAAACTTTCAAACGTTACTTCGCCAATGTGTGCCAATCAATTAAAAAGAAGAAGAAGAAAAAAAAAACAAGGAACGAAGATTTATAACCTCTGCAACACCATCGCTCCTCCTTAAATATCATTAAAGGATGTTTTATTATCAATTTTATATTCATTTATTAATAAAAGTACTTAATAAATAATTAAATATATTTTTTTAAAAAATATAAAACGGTGGAGGGGGTTAAAAACTTACCGATAGGAATGTGAATTCTTTCTTTACTTAACACATAATCGATTGTTAACAGTAGCGAGACATTCAACCACACCAACCACATTTCCTCTCCTTAAGTCTCTCCACTTGTTCCTCTCTTACGATGACGACAAAATGAGCATGGACCTCGTGACGTGACGTAATAACTCCAAAGTCTTTCACATTTAATACCAATAAATGCTACGTCAGTGACATGCGTGGTATACAATGTACAACCTCCCGAAATCTTGTTTTTCATGCCACTCCGCTGTTTATCTCTTAATTAAAATAGTTAATTAGACAATTAACGAGTTTGTATATAAATTAGTTAGTTTGTCCGTTTTCTGGTTTGTATTTCTCCCCCTTTGAAATACTCAAGAAACTTTTTAAAGTTTATTTAATTTTTATTTAATCTTTAGACGTCTAAAACGTCATTTTTAAGGGAGAAAAACAGTCATGTATATGTAAAATTTAATTATTTATATATATATTTTATGTTTCAATAAAAATATTTTTACTTGATCTTTCTGAATTGTTGTTTAAAGTCTTTTTTTTAAATATACTATATTTTTTCAAAGTTTTATTTAAATAAATTTAAATAAAAATTAATTTTTAAAGGTTATTTCCTGGGAAAAATAAAAATAAAGGCAATCTTGGGGCGTATGCTTTTAAACAAATGGTGTTCCTGTGAATGAAAATATGTATCTAAAAAAAGATTCTGAAAATTTATTGATTTTTTAACTTTTTTTTTACATTTGGAAGCGATTTTTCAAGGTTGCTATAACCCAATTTCTTTCTTTTTTTCATTGTAAATGACTTTAATATAAAGATTATATACTAACTTCATTTCCTTCTGGTAAATTAATTACTTTATCATTTTATAATCAAAAGAATAAAATTTCTATTTAAGCAGAATTTTTTTAATCATTTAAATTTTATATTTTATCAATTCTAAATAAATTCAAATTCACATTTTTACTATACAGTTGATAAATAAATATAATAATCTCATATAAATTAAATAAATACATTTTCTAATTAAGATTTTATTTTTAAACTCTATTATTCTTACTGCAAATTTATTTCCATAAAATCATTATATTAAGATCTAAAAATATGTAACGAAATTTGATTTTTACATGAACCAACACCTATAAAAAGAATCAATAATGTAGAACAGTAGCCATACTAATTTCAATTTTTCTTTTCCTCTACCTCTATCTGGCATAGAGCATTGAACTTATATTGATATTTCTAAATGGATCAAATAAATGGAAATTATATTCCATGGATAATGAAGTAAATTATAACTGTCATTTTATAAAAATAAAATTTATTAATATTTTTACATATTAAAATCTTACTTATTCATGGCAAATATTTGTAGTTGTGTATCATTAAAAATAATTTAGAACAATTTAATTCTTGAAATTAAGTGTATTTTTTGGTAATATTAATCAGAATATACACTAGCATAACTAGAACCAATATTGGAGGGTCCGAATTAGAATGCGCAAACCTATATTCCTCCCTGTACTACTATGGATGAAGAGTAATCTAGATATTGTATAATGTATATAGGTGTATTTGTCATATTCAAATCTTTTACCTGTACTTATTTGATTTTTTCTATATTTTATTACAAAGAAAAGGAACCCCTGGGTCCTTTCCTGGTTACACTACTACAGATAGAATTCAAATGATTATATCACTAAATATATTTTTAAAATCTATAACTTCTGTACTGAATCAGCGTAGGAGTTTGAAATGAAATAAAATTCAGATAAAAATATAATTTAAAATACTATAATTTTTATTTCTACAAATTAAAACTGTAGTCAAAAATAAATTATTTACAGAATATTTTACAAAGAATTGAAAATGGTAAGTGTGTTTAAATATGCTTTACCATAAAATATAAATTTATTCCATTTAATCTTAGAATTCTTTTTCACTTACTTCTAAGTCATAGAAAATACTTGTTATACAAAGTTAAAAATGTATACAGTCATAAATCTATCTTTCCAAAAGTATAATCGTTATTAATAACATGACTTTCTTCTTAAATACTGATGAGTGATCATTTTTGATTTTTAGAAAAATGATAAACAAATCATTCAGGTAAACATGTACCAAAATGATTTAATAAAATATTATTAAATCATTTTACAAAGAATGTTGTATATAACATTTACTCATCATCATCGAGTAGAAAATTTTGAAAAATTTATTTATTTTTTTGGAAATACTATCTAATTTGAAGAACTCTCAATACGAGCATCTGTAGATGTGCCTTGTGGACAAATTGAAGCTACTTCTAATTGAACATCTACCACACTGTTCTTGCAGGTACAGTATAAAGTAATCACGTTGTCCTTATAGACTGTTATTTCATCATTCAGCACTACTGCCGCTTGGCCCCAAGAACAATTAGGATCCAAAGTGCTTACAATATTACCTCGCCCATAATCTAACTCGAACCAATAAACTATGGCAGATAGGTGACCCGACGAAATTAATTTTACATCAACTGCCGTCTGGATGTTTAAAAATGATGGCAATTCTTCTTTTGGTAATGGTTCGTTGAAATCAATTTCCCACATTATCTCGGGTTCACTTAATTTTTCATATTGTAAGGTTGATAAATGTATATCCTGATGGGTTTTAGCCTGTAAAAAAATAAAATAAAATTTTAAATTTAATAATTTAAAAAATATAAATGCTTCTGTACTTTGGATTTTACTGTAAAAGCTCAAAATAAAGCAAATTTTGACATGGAAATCTAGCATATTAATCAAAAGCTAGTAAAAGTAAGAAGTTTGCACCAAACTGATAGAATTCATCCTCTTGAATATCTGTAACATCTAACAACCATTTAGGATCAGTTTTTCTTTATTAATGCCAGGTATTTTCATCCTCACAGTTTGGTCAATTTCAGTCTATTTTTAAATTTCTTTCCACCATGTGAATAGCTAGATGGGGAGAAATGGGACTTGACCCCTCAGCTTGCTTCTGATCAGAAGTTGATGGATCACTATGAATGTCTTTTGAAACACTCAATTTGAGTCATGCCAATGTTCTCACCTTCCTCAATTAAATTAACATTTGTTGACTTGCTAGTTTCATTCTCTTAAACATCATGACATTCCACAAAATATCTTCTAGACTTCTTCAATAACTAATTTTTATCAATTTCTAAAGAACTACAAAAATATCCAGCTGCATTTTTATTTAACAACTGAACGTTGTTTTGTTAATATGAACATTTTATTGCTTCCTGATATACTGAGCTTTTCATTGCTTATACAATTTTAGATTTTCAGCTCATTCTTTTAACTAATTTCTTTATGATAATAACTATAAATTATAAGAAAATACTTAATTTCGATTTCCATCCAAGCTTTCATATTTTCTGTTTTGATTAGAACATCCTAAAATCCCTGTGGAACAATTTTGATATTATTCCACAGTACAGAACTATTTAATTACTCAAAATTCTCATCTATTGTTGGAACAGAGCACAAAAAAAACAGTCAATATGTTTATTATTACTACATTTTGAGTCTCTAGTGACCAGAGAAAACAATCTTGGTAGACCAACAAAATTTTTCATTTCCATTACTCTTTGCATCAATGAGAGCAATTTGGCAACTATCCAACTGATCTCACTGGTAGGAAGATAACCAATTCCTTTCATTGTGTAGCATATACTTCACAAAAATACGTTTTTCTTCACACTTTTTCGGTTACTTTTGACAATATTGACAATGCTATTTTTGTACTTCTGATTCAATTCTTTCAGTATTCTAGTTCTGACCAACTGCAAGAAGTGTTTCACAAATTATACTAAACGACTTGTTTTCTGGTCGTTTCTCTCAGAAATGGATAACATCAACATGAAAAAGAAAAATCGTCTTTCGGAGACACAACGATTTCGTCTTTATGGCTGACATCAGGAGGTTACAAGCGTTTATTACACATATTCAAATTATCTGCACATGAAATATAATACGACATTTTTGCCAATGGTATTGATTTACTTCTTAAAAACGCAAAATATGAAAATACTAAGCTTCGTAAAATCATTAAATATATACTTTTTCCGGGTGCCAACTGCTCGCTGATGAATTTCAATTGAATATATCAAATATTATCATAGTAACAGATGAATAACAATTAAAATATATACAGTATTAGATTATCATCTTTTCTTGCAATTATTTAATTTATTTGATCTGCATAAATAGTTCTTAACATAAATAGTTCTTGCCAAGGAGTAACTGTATGTTTTATTGATCGCATATACCACGTTATTTAAATCGTTACGTAACGTTAAATAGAAAAAAAAATTAACTAGATATTTTTTTATTGAATAAAGTATTTTTATCTGATACAAAATTATTAATTAAATTCAAAATTTATTATTAATTATTTTCGTAATAATTGCTACTTAGTATATGTAAAAGGAAAAGAAATAGAATTCGAGAAACTTTAATTTGAATATTACAATCGGCATTCAATTTGAAAATTCCAGATGAAAAATGATAATAAATATAAAATTTCCATTATGAGAGGTATGGTGATTGAGGGATTTAGTCATCGTAAAGTACTTGTTACTTAATCACGTAATTATTAATAATTTATTTAGACAAAATCGCAATACAAATTTATTATTTTCCATATCAAATCAATTATCTAAATCTCGAAACATATATTAACTAGGAAACGTTTTCGTAAACGATACTGCTATTTATATATTAATACAATCGTCCATTTTGTTTACTTCCATACTGAAACGCAAATGAGACGAAACATTTACTGATCAGTAATTACTAATGAAGAAACTTTTTTAAAGAAAAAATTACTTCAGAATTGCTTTAGAAAGACGAATCCTTTCTCAAAGTTAGTTTGCCAAATTTTAGAGAACAACAAAGAGGACATATCAGTTAATATGGCACAAAGGCAATAAGCAAAAGCAGGGCTCAAGAAAATAGTATTTACAATTTTTTTTTCAACTTTTTCCACTCTGTGACAACTAAGAGGTTGTTTTAGCAAGCCCATTATGAGTTCGGCCAGGCTACAATAGAGCGCCAGATGTTGAGGAACGGAGTCTATATATCCATGGGGACCATCGTCGAAAAATTCTTGGGGTTTTTCGACCCGTCCAGATTCTATCTCGGGTCCCCTAGAGCAGTGTTTTTCAACCTGTGGGTCTCAAAGCCATACACGGGGGTCGCGGGTAAAAGTGTTTGTAGGTCCTACACTACAATAAAAAAAACTACAATTTCAGTGAGAAGGCTGTGCCTGTTTATTTTACAGTACAATTAGTTTTTTGATCGATATTTAAATCTCAACAGAAAGAAAATTAAATACGTAGTTTTTAAAATCACTGGCATAGATTTAATATGGCCGTGGGGGATCGCCAAAATTGTTTAACTTGTAAAGGGGTCGCGTATTCAAGTAGGTTGAAAAACACTGCCCTAGAGTGATAGGCCTTAACCGCTAGGCAATTCGGCCAAACGTATTTATAGTTTTAAGTTATCTATACTATTATAATAAAGAGGTAATGTTTGTAAGTTTGGATGTAGCGGGTAATCTCCGAAACTACTCATCCGATTTCAAAAATTCTTTCACCAATATTTAGAATGGAACTTCAGGGTAGACATAGGCTGTATATTATCCCGTTAAACATTCATATAAATTAAAAGATATCATCTAGGGTTAAGGCTTTTATGTCCAACAGATGGCGCTACAAGTACGACGCCCTAAGTTTGCTTTTCTGTGAGGATGAACTAAAGCAGATCATCTTCTATCTATCTATATAAATAAAAATGTAATGTTCGTTTGTTCATACCGATTCCTTTGAAATTTTGACATAATGCTGCATTCGAATACGCACGTGTTTTTATATAATATACATGTCGAAATTCCCCCCACTGGGGGAGATGGACAGGATTAAGGCTTACTGTGAAGAACTTGGTTTCTATTATACTATTTTAGATGCGGTTTTTTGCGTTTTTGATTGCGTTTTAATAGGGTACGTCAAGAGAATGTACACTAAGAAGGGATTTTTCGAAAAATTTCCACCCCCACGGGGGAAGTGTTATACATTTATAATAGATACATTTTGAGCCACAACAACGCGTGGCGGGGTCTGCTTGTTATTAATATTGGTAATAAATTGTGGCGATAACATTAAATTAAAACTACAAAATAAATTAAAAAATGCTAACTCTAAACAATTATTATTTTAAAAATGTTCAACAAACTTTGATTACAGTTCCACTTTAATTTCCAAATATATTATTTTCGTAACTAGGGATCCGACCCCCTTTGGAGCTGTCCATAAATGACATCCACACTGGAAGGGAAGGAAGGGGATTACACCTAAATATGGACCAGTTTCCTATAAAAGACCTCCCAGGAAGCATTCCCCCTCGACAGATCCGCTCATGTGTCGCGTTGCCGTAATCGAAACCAAAACCATTTTATATTTATTTCAAAATATCTTGTATGTTTAGTTTCTACTTATGGTAGCCTATCTATCATTATTCATAAAGTGATAAAGGTTTTAAGGGGAGTTGAGTTTTGTTGAATGTTCAAAAACGGGAAGGGGTTACCGAAAGTGAGACAAGGGAAGAGGGGGAAAATGCGGAAGTAATTTATAGATAGCATCTTTTCTGAAGATCCAACTCTATTCAAAAATTGCTTTTCATTACGTATTTGTATGTAGAATCGTTCACGAGTGATATAAGGTAAATTTGCCTTGTCAGCCACCATCAGTAGTCAGCCTTTCAGTTAAATATCAGCGTAAATAGCGTCTCAGACTAAATTAGGGAAATGACTTTTGCTTATTTATTCTGGGAAAGCCCAGTAGTCAGCATCTATGAGCTTGACCCTCTTATGCCCTCTTATAGTCAGATTTCTCCCTATCCAAAGTACAGCATAACCAGTGGATAGCAGTACAGTATATCATGTAAGAATGGGCCCTCTCAATGAATTACGTTTTTGAATATTGTGAGCTGAAATTTAGAGCTGCCTTTGTTGCAGAGTTAATACACATATTTTGGAGAATTATCTCAGTGCAAAATTTGATCACAGAAGGTAAGTTAGCAGAAATTTCTTGGGGCTGATTACTGGCTTTGCCAAATATATGCAAATTAATCATAGGCAGTTGACTACTAGTTGGTTACTAGTAGCTTTAAGCATGCTATTATGAATAATACACTGAATAATACCATAACCTGCATTGATGATTATTTTATCCAGTAGTCAGTTGCATTAAAGTAAAAACTGAGTTTGGGCAATCAGTTTACTAAAAATCAGAAGGAACTTACAATGACCTGAAAGTTAATTTATACATAAACACTTATTAAAAATGAATGTATTTTGTTAAATAAACATATTTGACACATTGCATTACCTAATCCAAAATCCATTTTTACACAAGTCAAGTAAGATAGGTTGGGGATAAATTGGGAAAAATTTCATCCATATATAGCAAGGTCTTAAAGAATCCAATTCATCAGTATGAAAAGAGCTCTTGCAGATGCACTAATTGCAATTAGAGAAAATCATCTTTCTATAAGGGAATCAAGTTGGCTGTTTGGGGTGCCCAGAGGAACTCTACATGATAGACTTCTTGGATGCATCTGTGAAGGCCCCTGAAAAATGGGTCCTCAGATAATTCTGAATGCTAAAGAAGAAAAAAAATTAGTGGCTTGGATAATTTCATTAGCAAAAGCTGGATTCTCACTCAAGAGATCAGATCTCTTAAACACAGTACAAAAAACTGCCAAGTCTTTTGTACTGTGTAAAACTCTGCATTTTTAAAATGCCACCCTGAACTGTCAGAGTTCTGCACAAGAAAGCTAATCTATCTTTTGCATTAAATGCAAGAGATAGATTGTAAGAGTGGTCTGCTTTGTTCACGACAGACCACTCTTAGTCCTTGTTTGGCAGTGAATTTTACCTGTATTCAGATGTAAATTATCACTTTTATAATGAGTGTGATTTTTACTTGGCTGTAAAGATTAAGTAAATAAAAGGTTTAGAACAGTGGTTCCCAATTAGTTTTTCCTGCATACCACTTCAAGAAAGAGCTCAAACTCGCATACCCCTTATAGCAGAAATTCATATTAATCTATACTAATATTATAAATTTGAAGGTAATTCTGTCTGTCTGTCTGTCACCTTTTCATGTCTAAACCACTGAACAGGTTTTAATAAAATTTGGCACAGAAATAGCTTACATGTTGGAGATGAACATAAGCTACATTTTACTGCGAGAAAATATCTTACTCCCACTTGAAAATTCGATATAATGTGGGCGAAGCTATGGGTAGACAGCTAGTGATAAATAGAATAAGTTTTTTTTTACATTTATTACCTTTAAAATACAATTCTAATAATAATGAAAATAACATAAGGTTATTTAATTTTAATGTGACAATTTTCTTTGCACAACTTTGTAAAATCTGGTTGCATTTGGTCAGCTTCAGTCTCAGGTCATCTTCGAGTTGAAAGTCAGTGGCAATATTTAGTTTTCATGTTTTTCATGGCCGAAAATCCACTCTTGCAGAGGTATGTTGTGGAAAATGGTAGTAAATATTTTATGGCAGCTTTGCTGACATGATAATAATGATAATTGTACAATTAACACAAATTGTGTTAATTGTACAATTTTTGTTTCTTGCATAAGAATTTAGGTATTGTCACAAATGGATTTTTTTGATGAAATTTCAAGAATATTTTTAGTTATAAATAAACGAATTTGTGCATTCTACATCATGTTGTAAATTACTGAATTTTTGATGGTCCACCCATTATTTTTTTGATTGCTCCATCTCATGCATTTAAATTTTAAATCGACCGATTTTAGATTGCTGTGCATACCCCTTCATGCAATTTCGTGTATCCCTGGGGGTACACGTACCACTAATTGGGAACCATTGGTTTAGAACATTATATTATGTTGAGATTTGTTTAGTCCCACTTCACTCATAATATCTAAACTCAAAAAGGATGTCAATTATTTATTGTGACGATGTCACAATGCTGGGCTGTAATTTTTCGTCACAATGTTTTCAATTTTAGTAGTGCTTTCCCCTGTACATCATATTTTCCTGTTAACAATTGAGTAACGCTGGTCATCTATCTAACTCTGTTCAGAGGAAAATATTTGAATTGAAATAATGTGACTTGCCGTGCAAACTGGAAATTCATATATAGTTAATGGGGACCTCCTGCCCATAAGCTTTTCATATCTGGTTTCAACTTTCATCTATCTAACTCCATTCTCAAGATTGGAAGGACAGACAGGGAGGTAAGGAAACAGGCACCAGTGGGAATTTATAGGTTTACAATTTTTGAAAATTGCAGCTCAATAAGAAACATGGCCGACTATTGGTATCAGAAGGGCTTAAGTATTGAATCTTGGTGTCTGACCAATGAGAATTGGTAAGCATCTGGTTATATTCAAGATTTACTCAAAATTAATAACCAACCACTAAAATGTTATATGTACTGTACATTGAAAACAATTTTATATTAAATTTTCTGTATGTAATCCCATTATCCTGCTGCTATATGATTCATGAATCAGCAAATTCATTGAGTACTTGGTTAACTGATTGACTACTTACTACCCACTTTACCTACTGTACTTCAAAGTTGTACTGGATAATAAAGATACTCTTAAGCGTTTCTACAGAGAGGGAATTCCTCTCATTCGTCCACTGTTCCACATTATTATGGGTGGGTTTGGAAAAGCAAAATTGAACCAAATTTAAATTTTTAAATACATTTAAATATGAAAACATTTATATAAATAGGCCTAGGAGACTTCGCTCACCTGTTCAAAAATTTTGTGATGATTCATAGATTCCTGGTGCCATCATTTTTTTTTTTTTTTTTTTTTTTTTCGCGAACAGAAATACATGTCAATTTTAAGCTAAATAGCCTACCTATTATATATATAGACAGCAAAATACATCAAAAATGATGATAAAAATTAGTTATAAAGTTTCTTTTAGTGATTCTTAGTTTAACATTAAAACAATAGATGTAATAGATGTTACTTTTGACTTGTGTTATTCTATCACTAACACAATACACCTGTCACGAGCATTAGTTTATTATAAAGATTCCATAGAATAATAATATGGAAGACATAGACATTGAAGTTATTATTTTATGTTCTGTTGACTCTTTAATGCCCATTGTGACACCATCTAATAAGTAGCTTTAGCTATCTAATTCTGAAATTATGGTATAACTACGAGTATTATGATATTAATATTATATAACACGTATGTATTATTTGAATGTAATATTTTAATATAAAAACATTCAAAAAATTATGATGTATGGCAATCTAATTGGCAGTTATAAAATTATTTTAAATATACAAAAGATATCATAACTTTATTCTCATCTATTAAAAACCCTAGACAGACATGAATATTTTAAAAATCCTTCCCAGACGCATGATTGGAATGCCAAAAAGTGGGGAAAAGAAAGTCTGGAACATCTGGGGAAAAGAGGACATTTGGTATCCCTCTTCAAAGTGTTAAATTCTTATCATACAACTCTTAATATGCTGTAAATCCTCTCCTTTCAAAGACATCAATTACATAATTCCAGATCTTCACAGCAGATGCAAAAATTTTTATTCATTCTCAAATTAAATTGCTATCAATTTTGCCTGTATCAAACATTTTAGTCATCTTGTAGAGAACATTGTTTTTTGGAAGCAGTTTTGAATGAGTTCATTTCAATTNGGAAGCTAGCATTATAAAACCGGTACACTTATCAACATTAGCAATGAATTTGGGAAAAAGTTGAAATTTATACAAGTAATCTTTTGGGCGACTATATGAACTATAAAGATGCCACAGTGTTACCCACAGCGTAAAAATATATGGTTGAAATGAACTTGTTAGAGAATACTGCATAATGTTCGTACAATCAACAACTAATGTTATGATTGTAATTTTTTTCTTTTTCTTTCGGCAAGAAGAACGTTTCCGAAATGTTTTGATTCATGTTCCGTTAGAAGAAATTTGATCTTTCAGAAAAATCTCTTTTTGAATTTAATGTTTAAACATCATACTACCTAATCCTTCACTAATTCATGAAATATGATTTGAACAAACTTTGAAACAAAGGTCTTAACACTTGAATACAATAGAACTGTACAATGAAACTCAAAATTACAGTAAACAACAAATTTCATTATTCTAGTAATAAATGTACTGAAAATAAAAATTAAAATTTAAGAGGAAGATACAGTTACCAATCTTTTATCCGAAGCCCTTGGGAACAGATGTGTTTGGATTTCACAGTGTTTCCATTTGTAGAGCAGCACAAACATACCTTACTTATATTCACAGGATATTCTTCAGTTAGACATAACATAAGGTATTCAAAAGCAAACTATGTTCTCCAAAATGCAAAAATTAAATGAGAATATCATTCGGATACTATATAGCGAAAGTTTTCCAATTTGACTTTAAAAATGTCTCCATTTCAGAACAATTTGTTCAAACTACCATCAAGCTTCAACAAAATCTGTACTTTTTATCATTAATAATAAGCGTTTTCTTTGTTTTCCAAATGTCTTAATGATATTTGGCAATTCTTTGATATTTTGATAGTGAAATGAAGTTTAAAATCATAAAAAAACAATGTAACAAAACATATCTGACTAGTAGCAATACTAATTTATAGAGGACATCTCAAACCTGTGTCGATTGTATTTGTTATTACTTTGGATTGCATTTGTTACCAAACAACTTGCAAAAAGTTTCAAATTTTTTGGAATTTTTTTGGATTTCACAATTGCTAATAAAGTATTGTCGATGTTGAACATATCATTTATTCACATTCAGAATAGTGATTAGCTATCAATATTTCTAACTTTTATAGTCTCTGCAAAGAAATCTTAATATTTACCATAACTCACTAGTAAAATCTAAATGTTTGCAAAATTTGGGCTTTTACAGTAATGTACAGTACATACAGCTTATGCATTATTATAAATTGAATTCTATTTAAAATCAAAATTTAAAAATAAAAATTACTGTTTAATAATAATAATGTATCTATTAAGCTTTGAATTATATTACTTGAAATATATTGATGAATTCAGCTATTTTGAAATTCAAGGTACGACTGTCATCTATAAGTTTTGCTTGTAATAACAATGCTGGGCTCTGTATTAATATCATATATGATTTCAATTTACAAGGAACTATTCTACATGTCTCTTTTAAACAAGATGCTCTGAAAAGAAAAAAATTTTAAATGCAAACAATAATTTCAAAATATTAATTTAAAATTTATTTAATAACTATTATGATTTTATATTAAAGTAATAATGTGAAGTTAAAGATATATTTTAATTATGCAACACTAATTTAAAATTTAGACTTTTTAAAATTATTATTAAATTTAATTAATATAGCATAAAATATCAATTTTATAACTAATTTTCTATTAATAATTAATTAATAAACTTTATAATAAAATTTTTACTAACCAAATTAAAAAATTAAGTTCAATACACTTTAATCTATACTAATGATCACATTTTGGTTACATAATAAAATGGCAAAGTTATTTTAAAATAGTGCATTTTCTTTTAGACATGAATACTTATTGGAAATAATTAATGAATAAGTGGCCAGATGAAGTTCACTTTTCAAAGGTGGTGGGTGAATCCCAGATAACACTTTGTAACTGTCATTCCAAAAGTTATATAGAATAGAATAAGTTAAAAGAATACATTGAAAATGTTAGTTTGTATAAAAATAAATAATCTCAGCAAGTTAAAGTGCTTTGTGGGGATTGTGTATTAATTGAGTCCCAGATATGTCAGATCCTGTCCATCCCCCATTGTGGGCCTGGCCAAACCCACAATGGCTATGATTAAAAGCCTCTCTTAACACTCACAGGGTGAAAGAGTCAAAAATAAAAAAAATGAACAAAAATTAATATTGAAAATTACTTGTATGCACTTATTTAAAAGTGAGTATAACTTTGATACATAACTTGCATATAAACACTGTAAACCATTATCACATAAGTTATAGTATATAATATTATATCTAAATACATATAACTCTTAACTTAAAATCTCAATTCATGTTAAAAAAATCCGCTTGAAATTTCATCAAATAATATTCTTCAATGTTGACAGAAATAAAAAAAATCAATTTCTACAACAAGATTAATCAAATGAATTAAATACAATAAATAAATACAATAAATAAATTATAAAAGTGTAAATATGCTGTGTTATTAAATTGAGAAAAAAATTGAACTAAATTTATAAGAATATTTTTACAACTATTATTCAAATATGAAAGAATTAAAAACAAATGAATGCTAGAAGATTATATAATAGACAAATAAAAGTAAAAATAATAAATTAAAAAATTTTCATAATACTCTTTTGATTATTATATCTGTATCTCTTTCATCATTCATGACAGAGTAACAATATTTCAAAACATAAAACTTGGAAAAACTTTACTTTTCATTTTATGTAATTACATTTTATATATATATATATATGAAAATATTACTACATAAAATAGAAAGTGACTGCTCTGTGAGAACTTGTAGAATTGAATACTACTACACAATAAAATTGTGTAGTAGATACTATGGTCTGTAAAAAATAAAAAAACATTCATTAATTTTACATCTTCAGTTTGAAATCTTTTAACTATTGCTATGGATTGTTAGTGTTGTGCTGTATAAGATAAAATGTCATCTTTGTTTCTACAATATCTGATTTATCATGCAAATTTCAAATATCAGAAATTCAGAATTCATCATTTCTTATGGGAAAAATTTTAACTCATTCCTGGCATATAACAATAAACAACTAATTTCTCAAAACGACAATGAAACACTGAAAAATAAAATAAAATAAAATAATGCTATTTACCTATCAGTTCATGTTTTAGCATGACATTAAAGATTAAAAACCCAATTACCACTACCAAACCACTTAATGAGATCATTAATTAAAGAATATGTTTGTAAGCAATAATGCAATAAATTTGTTCATTACCACTATTAGAAATTGTATAAGAACTTCATTTTCTTTAATACACAGAAATATGTACTGTTACCTAATGATACTGTATATTTTAAATTAAAATATTACTGTATAAAAACAGAACTACAAAAGTAGCATACTGTACTGAACTGTTAAGAATAAGTTCACAAGACTGTACCGACATTTAGTTATAAAAGTCACTAAATGCACAATAACAGCAAAACACAGATACGACACTAATGAAACAAATAAAAATGGATACTGGAAATGGAATGAGTCATTACTTCCTACTTTCACTAATACAGATTTTGAATTTTTCTCAATGTACTATGGAAAACTTTATAATGCTGAAATTATTTGATTTGGATATTAGAATGATACTAAAGAACATCGTTCATTATAGCAGGAATTTGGATATAGAGAGTTCAAATATCAGGATATGGTTGTACAATGTTTTCTTTAATGCTAAATTTTAATGTTTTTAATTAGAAATCAAACATGCAAAACAAAAACTACTATAAATTTGTACATTCATTCCATCTCTTTACAATGGGATAGCTTCTCTTTAGTAAGTGATATTTGTTTGACTAAAAACTTATACTTTGCATAAACATTTTTTGGACTAAAAGAAAAAACTTTTAGTTTTTGTGGTATATGTATTAATATTTTTGAATTAAATAAATAATAGAAAACAATTCTCATTAATACGATTTACTTTTCAGAATACTTTTAAATAAGAAACACATACAAAAATAATATTTATTGGTTCATATACATATATTGTATTCTGTTAACTTATAGTATAAATCTATACTAATTTATTTTTGAAAATAAAATTTTGTAAGAAACATTCTGAAAAATTTTTCTGAATCATCTTGTTATAAAATATCAAAAAAGGCAATCTTATTTCTTTCCACCAACAACATTTAATGATTAGACAAATGTTTTCGAAATGTAAATCAGTTAAGAATGTTTGTCTAATCATTAAATTTTATATTTCTTATTTATATTCATTTCAATCACATTAGAAAAAGTCTTTTGTCAATAGATTTCCTCCCCCTAATTAGCATTAAAATCCCAATTACTGGTAAAATATAAAAAATTATGACTAAAGTACAACAAAATAAAATACAAAACGTAAAAAATATAAAAGTATTAACAAAGAAAGGTTAAAAAAAAGTTTAACAATTATATAATATTCATTTGCAGGCTATTTTGAAACAGTTACCATCAAAGTGTAATAACCTATACATTGTTACTGGAAAGTCCTTTTGATATTTTGAAGTTTCCAGTTTGAGTTTTCTTTTCTTTTGTTTTAAAATAATAATAATTACAAAAACATTTTTGTCTTCTATAAAATATTTTAAAGAATATAGAAAAACTTTGATAAAATTTTCTTATGGATATTGTTCACAATAAAATCAGGAATATATAATAGCAATAAGAAAGAACTTATATTTTTAAAAACTAAAAAATCTTATACAAAATATTTAAATTTTAAAAAATTATAAAATTATTACAATATTATGAATTCTCTAAAAGTATTTATTAAATTACATTTTTTATATTCTGTTTCATTGCATTATGGATGAATCATTTTAATTCTTATATCTTTCAATGAAATGTAAATCAAGAATATAAATTCACTAATTCAATTTACTTTTGATTTGCTGATAAAAAAATAAATTAAAAGTTTTTTTGAATTAAACTCTCTTTTCATACTTACATGAATATTTTCTTTAAAAAAATAATATTAAATAAAATTTTCTGCATCTAAATCCAAATAAAATCACAAATATATGGCAATTCAAGGAAATGAATGATATAGTTTGTGTTAATACTTTAATATGTTTTATTTGAATTTAGAAGTTGAAAATTTTGTGGGTAACACAATTTTTCTTCTTTCTCAATATTTTACAAAGGAAAAAATTTTATTAAGAGAAAAAAATTTAATTTTACATTCCTAATTAAAAAAAACATACCTAAAATAATTTTATTAATAATGTCAACCATGTAATACCAGATAAATAATATCTTTTGTTAAAATAAAAATTTTATACAATTGTAATGAATAAATATACAAACATAATACCAAATAATCTGCTGCATTATTGGACTATAAAAAGGCTAATCTAAGAGCCCAATAATATGACAGATCATTTAGTATTAATTAAAAATTAGGTTTGTGAATTTATTGTTTACATATATTTATATAAAAACATAAAAGAGCTTCTTGTCTTGAAAATTGTTAAAACTAATATCTCAAATACAGTAGAGCATCGTTTATCTGAAAGTCGGTCATCCAAAAGAATTCCAGTCGGCAAATTTTAATTTTTGCTAGTGCTGTGGCGCTGCAATCTTTGGCTATATCTTGGGCTACTCCAATATTTTTTATGTCTGTGTGTGTTTTAGCTGGCAGCACTGTCACTTTTGTGTGGTGTTTTTTTGAGGACTGTGTGTCATGCTGAATCAAACGTTTTTGATACTAGATAACTTCTAAAGTATAATTTTTTTTTGTTTTTATATTTTTCAATATATTTATTTTGTTTGTAAAAAATAAAGAANTATAAAGTGAATGCATCAATATATTTTAAAAAACATAAATTTTTTGCTGTTTTTAAAAATATTAGGTTGATACTTATTTATTGCACTAATTTTTATATATTTTAAAAAATGTAATAATGTAAATTTCTATTTAATAAACAATACAAAATTTCATGTAAAATGAATTTAAACATCAAATATGCCTAAGAATGAAGAATGTAAAGCTGATTTTAATTAATGTGCTGGTCAATTATAAAAGACAATTTTGTCAAACAAACAAAATTAAAAACAAATTATCAAAAACAAAATCTTGTCATTTCAAACAAATTTTCAAATTGTTATAAATATTTTATTTGAAATAATTGTAAAAATTACTGAGAAGTAAGAATATACTAAGATTGTTGATTAAGGATTTTTCTTTTCAACTCTATTTACTTCTAAATACATAAAATGCTAAAATTTCTAATTGCAATTACCAATTACTTCATTAATTTGTAATTAATAACTGTTTATTCATAACAAACAATTTAGTTTCAATAAAGTTTCAACAAAGAGTGATTTCTCAAAAGCGTTTTGAAGAAGGAAATTTATTTAGTGTCCATATTAATTTACTTATGTTAATTTTTTAAATTTCAACTAATTAATTTCTACTTAAATTAATTGATTAAATTAGTAATGAACAAATTTAATTTTACAATTTACTACTTAATAATACTATTGTTATTTTGGTTTGAATTACATTAAAATTTGATTGTAGAAATTTCCAATAATGAAAAATTTTGTGATTTTACACCCATGCATATAAATGTATGAGCTGTCAAATCATGAAAGTTATATACTTACATAACATTTTTGTTACTCAGTAAAATTAAGTAAAAATGTTCATACAAATAAGGAATTTTAATTATATTACGCTGTATTAACTTATTTAAATTTGTTTGATTGAATTATTTATATTATCTGAAGCAGAATAAAGATAAAAGACAATATATATTTTAAATTATCCTAGATTTGAAGATTTTATTTTATTAATTTGAGTGCAGAAATACAAATTTTTTATTATAATAACTAAAAAACATGTCACAATATATATACAAAACTTTCATATTTATAAAAATGATATTTGTTAATAAATAATAAAATGTTATTTATAAATAAATATCATTTTTATAAATATGAGAGTATAATGAATGTGTTTAATATTTAAATTATTTAAATATTAAACATATTCCTTACTTTTGAACAACCAAATTTGAAAAACTCCCTGAAATTTTTATTTTATAAAATTCAAATGTAAAAATGAAATCATAGTAAATTAAAAGATAACATAATTTTATAAAAGCCCTACATTTTATAAATATAAAAAAAATAAATATAAGAATCATCCAAGTACTTAATAAGAACTTATTAAGTACTTGGTTTTTATTTACCATGTAAATGATGAGGCCGAATGGGAAAAACAGCTTGTTCCCAACAAACATCCGATCCAGGATGTGTAGATAACATGGTATCTTCATCAAGATATAAATCAAACCACACTGCAATGGCATCCAGAGATCCATTCCAATTACATATAAAATTATTTTTCATAATATCAATTAAATCTACAATTAACATGTCCCAAAAACATGTTGAGAAGTCACTGAGATCTTCAACACATGAGAACTTAATCTGCTCTTTTTTTATACTGCTTAAATTTCTTATCTTGCATATTTTCTCCTGTAGCTGTAATTGTGTTATAACTGCTTCAGATGCTCCAAGCTTACAAATCATCAATGCAGGCCAAGCAAATAACGTCATGTCTATAAGCTTTAAATTCTTATTTTCAGAAACACTTTGGTATATAGCAGAAATAATGGCACTATTTGCAACATCATCATTTAATTTTTGAATAATTTTACTATCTAAAAACATATATTCTTTTTCTTGAGAAAATGATTCTTCTTGGTTCAGATGTATATATCCAAATTTTAAATATTTTTCACATAATAATTGGACTTCAACATGTGTACCAACTGACACTTTTTGAGATGCCCCTAAAAATATATGTAAATATATTAATATTCATTTAACTACATATTATATTTTTAACAATAAAATAATGTTATAGGTCTGAATATTAATTTCACTAACATAATATAAAGAAAAAATAAAACACATGCTATGTGACATTTTGAAATATGTTTTAATTTTACATATAAAATCTATTAAATTATTTATTATCTACAATAGCATAAAATTAAATGAAAATTTGTATGAAGTAAAAACATACAAATTAGTAAATCAATATTAAAATTACAAAAATAAAATGATTTACAAAACAAATAATTATATACATAAAAAAATAAATAAATCTTACGTATTAATATATAGTACATTCCTACATAAAAATGCTTATTTCAACTATAAAGTGAATGCATCAATATATTTTAAAAAACATAAATTTTTTGCTGTTTTTAAAAATATTAGGTTGATACTTATTTATTGCACTAATTTTTATATATTTTAAAAAATGTAATAATGTAAATTTCTATTTAATAAACAATACAAAATTTCATGTAAAATGAATTTAAACATCAAATATGCCTAAGAATGAAGAATGTAAAGCTGATTTTAATTAATGTGCTGGTCAATTATAAAAGACAATTTTGTCAAACAAACAAAATTAAAAACAAATTATCAAAAACAAAATCTTGTCATTTCAAACAAATTTTCAAATTGTTATAAATATTTTATTTGAAATAATTGTAAAAATTACTGAGAAGTAAGAATATACTAAGATTGTTGATTAAGGATTTTTCTTTTCAACTCTATTTACTTCTAAATACATAAAATGCTAAAATTTCTAATTGCAATTACCAATTACTTCATTAATTTGTAATTAATAACTGTTTATTCATAACAAACAATTTAGTTTCAATAAAGTTTCAACAAAGAGTGATTTCTCAAAAGCGTTTTGAAGAAGGAAATTTATTTAGTGTCCATATTAATTTACTTATGTTAATTTTTTAAATTTCAACTAATTAATTTCTACTTAAATTAATTGATTAAATTAGTAATGAACAAATTTAATTTTACAATTTACTACTTAATAATACTATTGTTATTTTGGTTTGAATTACATTAAAATTTGATTGTAGAAATTTCCAATAATGAAAAATTTTGTGATTTTACACCCATGCATATAAATGTATGAGCTGTCAAATCATGAAAGTTATATACTTACATAACATTTTTGTTACTCAGTAAAATTAAGTAAAAATGTTCATACAAATAAGGAATTTTAATTATATTACGCTGTATTAACTTATTTAAATTTGTTTGATTGAATTATTTATATTATCTGAAGCAGAATAAAGATAAAAGACAATATATATTTTAAATTATCCTAGATTTGAAGATTTTATTTTATTAATTTGAGTGCAGAAATACAAATTTTTTATTATAATAACTAAAAAACATGTCACAATATATATACAAAACTTTCATATTTATAAAAATGATATTTGTTAATAAATAATAAAATGTTATTTATAAATAAATATCATTTTTATAAATATGAGAGTATAATGAATGTGTTTAATATTTAAATTATTTAAATATTAAACATATTCCTTACTTTTGAACAACCAAATTTGAAAAACTCCCTGAAATTTTTATTTTATAAAATTCAAATGTAAAAATGAAATCATAGTAAATTAAAAGATAACATAATTTTATAAAAGCCCTACATTTTATAAATATAAAAAAAATAAATATAAGAATCATCCAAGTACTTAATAAGAACTTATTAAGTACTTGGTTTTTATTTACCATGTAAATGATGAGGCCGAATGGGAAAAACAGCTTGTTCCCAACAAACATCCGATCCAGGATGTGTAGATAACATGGTATCTTCATCAAGATATAAATCAAACCACACTGCAATGGCATCCAGAGATCCATTCCAATTACATATAAAATTATTTTTCATAATATGACCTTTAATTAAAGTTTCAATTTCCTAAAATAACAAATACTAAATTTTTAATCATATGTATAGATTTATCAATTTTTAACAATTTTTAAATAATAAAACATTATAAATCTATTAGTATATAAAATGTTCAAAATTAAAATTTTTTGGATCTTAATCTATGACTGATTTCACTTGCATATCTTATAAATATCATTTACTCTGTTCTAAAAGATGTCAACTTATTTAATAAGAAAATTATAGGTTTTAATTTTGAAAAACTTCATTATATTATTAATATATTATTGGTTGACAGCAGTTGGACAAATATAAAGTTGACTGTATTTTATTTAAGTGTTCATTGAACAACATGAACACACATGGACATGAACAAGACACACACAGCATTTGCATGCAGTAAAATGATAAAACTACAGGACTTCAAAAATATGCTGACCATATGGTCAGTAAAGTTATTGGTGGATCAAATATTCACATTTATAATTAGTAATAATATATTATTAAGAATGTTATTATTAAAAATTATATTTGATTTATAAAACAATTATATTCCAAAGATCTATAAATTATTGTAAAAACTATATTTTCTAACAGTTAATGTAAATATGAGAGTAAATTGACAGGACATGAGACTCATCTATTAGTGTCCTCTAGGGAACAAAATTGGTATTATTTTTGAGTTCTATCATCTTTTTTTTATAGTGGCAGGTGAAGTTCTATTGATTTATGACATTAAATGTGAAAAATACAACTATTTTCAACAAGACAGACAAATGGAAAATCCTAAGATGAATAAAATCACTATTTGTGGTATGATTCAATATTTGTTTTTTAAGAAAATGAACACAATGAAGATTGTGGCCAATAGGAAACAAACTTTAGACAACAATGCTCCTTCAAAAAACAACAATTTGCCACTGGGTTGCACAATTTAGACATGCTGATATGGGCTTTGAAGATGATGAACATCCTGGACCATCAAAAACTGTAACAACTCCAAAAATAATTGATAAATTGCATGATGTTGCTTTGAGCAAATGAAGACTGAACATTAAAGAGATGGCTAGGATCATAGGCCTATCAATTAAATGCATACATCACATTTTTCATGTTGAATTGGACATGTCTAAGCTGTCAGCAAGTTGGGTGTCACACTTACTAAATGCAGATCAAAAACATGAAAGAGCACACATTCAATGACAATTTAAAGCTGTTTAACATGGACTGAGTAGATTTTTTTGCACCATTTTGTTACAGTTGATAAAACTTGGCTTTATTACTATATTCTAGAATCTAAATGGCAATCTTAAGAATGGAGATATTGTGGCAGTCCTCCACCAAAGAAGGTCAAGTTATTTCCATCATCCAGGAAAGTAATGACCACAACTTTTTGGGATTCAGAGGGAATACTTCTTATCAATTACCTTACAAAGGGCCAAACTATCAACAGGCCATATTATGTTCTCTTTTAGACCAATTGAAAGCAGCAATTACTGAAAAAAGACCTGAAATGGCTTGAAAAAAAGTGCTATTCCATCACGATAATGAACCTTCTCACATGAGTCACATTGTTTGAGAGAAATTGGATCAATTGCAATTCCAAGTTGTCCTCCACTCACCCTACTCACCAGATCTAATGCCGAGTGACTTTCTCCTGTTCCCTAAGCTCAAACTTTCCTTTTCAGAAAGAAATTTAAGTCAGATGAAGTGGTTATTGTTGCAATAGAGCAGTATTTTGATGATCTTGAATCATTACAGAACAGGCATAATGACACTTCAGTTCTGCTGGTCCAAGTGTGTTGAATTACAAGGGGAATATGTTGAAAAATAAAAAATTAATAATAATGCACTAACTCATGTTTTTCATTTTGAGTCTCATGTCCCATAAAATCACCCTCATAGTACACAAAACAATTGAAACTGGTCCAAATTAAAACCTAAAAAGGTCTCATTAATAAAAAAAAATATTAATTTTTTTTAAAGTGTTTGAAATTAAAAATTAAATAACTATTAATTAAAACTTTTGGTTTTCTGTTAATTTAATACAAAATATGTCAAATTCTTATAAAAAAGTATATTCTGTTAATTAGTGAATATCAATGATTTTTCATTAAGAACAATGACTATCAATACATAGACTAACAATGTAGACCAGCGTTTCTCAAAGTGGGCGATAACGCCCCCTTGTGGGTGCTGGAGGCTTTCAGGGGGGGCAGTAGAAGGCTCAAAGAGAATTGGGGGGCGTTAAGGAAATATAGAGGGGCGACGGCAGACAAATTCTATATATAAAAATTCGACGGAATATATATAAAATGTTGACATTTTATATATTTTTTATTTTTTATTGAAGGTCACAACTTGAATATTTCTAACACATTGACTTTTATTTTAGCTCAGCGTTTCTCAAAGTAAGCAATAACGCCCCCTTCTGGCGCGATGAATAGATCTATGATAGAGGCAGGGTATTGAACGGTGACCAAAGGCAAAATTGGGGCTGATAAGAGGAAACATTGCGTTTAATGGTTTCCAGATGATGAGAACAATGTACA